CTGCTCTGCATTCAAAAGAATTGAGACACTGATCTTCTATCACTGGATGTATAAGTAGATTAGGTCATTTACTAAAAAATAATAAACATAAAACCAGTGAGCAAAAACACTGAAGCACAAAACAAATGCTCAGCTGCAAAGCAGGATGATTACTAGATTTCAGGAGATGGCAACAAGAAAAAGCTCATCAAATCACCATGCCTTGATAGGACCCACTCAATTTTCCCCCGACACATACTGATCAGCACAGATGATGCAGATCAGAAGCACAAAGGGTCCTGCACTGATGGAGCAGAGATGTGTTTTCCCATCCAGGAGACTCCAAGCTCTCACCATCTGACAGCACCAAAGGCCCAGGCACACAGTTGGCTGCCCCTTTCATCTGTGACATTTGTTCACACCTTGCTATGCCTTTAGATCTGTGGGTTTATTACTTAACTGTGAAATAATCATAAATGTAGAGCTCAATGCACTGAATTTCTAAGCTAGCTCTAAAGGACAGCCTTGTGACAGCCTCTTGAATTCAACTGCTAATTGGAAAAGCATTTTCTGGGTTAAAGCTACAAGCCATTAGCTCTTCTAAGGAAATAAAATGGATATGGAGAAGTGAACCAAAATACTTGGATCAATATTGCCAAAGAAGGGGAGGTGGCTGGGAAACACCTACAGGTCTGAGGCAAAAGGTTGTATCAAATTCTTTCCCGATTTCTGCAGTCATTAAGTGTTGATTGTATGCTCGTAGCCCTAATTCCATTTCACAGCTACAATCCTTGAGCTCGTCATGTCTCACCATTAATTAATTCACATTCATTTTGTATTTAATCACCAATGTATCTCCACCCAGGGCTGTTACCTTTGTGTGAGGCAGAAATCTGGGACACCTCCAGGTATCTCAGGCTCACAGAGATACTGGCCCGTGTTGCCAGTGAAACACTGATCTCGCTCAGCTGCATTGCTTGAGTCATCATGGAAACCTCCCAGCCTCACCAATGCAAGAATCTGCCAAGGAAACTACTGTGCAGCAACAGAAGCTTGGAGCAAAACAAATAATACAGCAGCAAGCCACTGCCACTTTAGGAAAAACAGGGATATAGTGACACAGGGCCACATGAAAGCATATACAGATAGTCCTCTTCCTCCAAAGCATCCAATTATGGCACTTCAGACAGAGGATAATTTCTCTCCTCTCATAAACTATCTACTGCCATTAATGCCTGACTTTTTAAGCAGCTGTAAACATGTTAATTCTCTCTTCCAGAGGATTCTGTTCTGTCAGGACACAGGTACACAAGCAGCTGAGTTGTCAATACTCTCTCATATGAAAAGGACTTTCTAGTGAGAAGACGCTTCCACACCCACAGGTTTCTCCCACCCAGCTCAGGAGACCATCACTAGCTGCTGGTCCTCCTTCTCCAGGTCATTTCAAAGCCCTCAACAGAAGGGAAAGAGCAAAGAGTGAGTGGATGGACAGTGGTTACAAGAGAGCAAAGAGCCTCTTAAAACAGTAAAAAGAAAGGTAAACTGATCATATATTTAAAAAGTAATCCATATGCTCGTTAATGCATCATAGTCTCAAATTCAAATCCTTTACTCTGTCACTCTTGTTGGTTTAAAATTGAAGTATTTTGTAAAATCCTACAAAACTATCCTCCTTGCCTCTATCCCTAGCATGTTCTTGCTTTTAACTTCTGGCAGGATGCATTGCATGGCAGTCTGGCCCCACATGGGCACAGCTACCAGAGAGCTCTGCCCAAGCAGTGACAAGTGTGACAGCTACACCCCCACACTGGTGGACCCAAGGTCTCTGGCCAAAGGGTTCTCCATCACCTGGAGTCACCTCTCTTCCCTCTCCACATGAGAAACTATAGTTAAGTTTACAGGGAAAGTTATAAGCTCATGTTGTACAAAATTAAGATTTATAGTGACCTTGCCATAATTAGCTGGACAAATATATTTTCCCAAACAGTACAAATTTGCACTGTGTGTATTTAACATTTAATAAAAATACTAAATCCATTGTTACAGAACCTAATCTATTAGTTTTAGGGCTTGAATGGCCATGATCACTTGCCATTGCTACCATGTAATTTGAAGATGCAGCAGGAGACTTCGGACTGTTCAGCATGCTCATCCAAGGATAAAAAGCAAAGTTCTTAATTCTCCCAGAATGGTATTCGTTGTATTTTTAAAGGAATCACACTTAAAAAATTTAAATAAAGCAAGTTCTGAGAAGAGTTATATTTATAGTTAACTTTAGCCATAAGAAAACTCCAGATTTTCTTAAAAGTTACAGCACCGTGATTAGAGACCAATTACAAAACTTCAAGAAAAAAAACTCAGCAATTATTTCCACAGATGCAAAGAGAATGTAAAACAGAGGAAGTAAGTGCAAATTAAATACAGCCACAGCAACTAAATGCATTTTAGATTATGAATGAACCAATTTCACAGACCACTGATAATTCCCAAGCAGTTCTGGAATAGTGAAGTTTTGTGATAGTACTCACCGTTTTCAGAAGTCTGAGTTCTGCATTAAGCAAAGTTAACCCAGCCAGAGATCATCAAGGTATCAGAGGTGATTGTCTAACCATTCATCTGCTGCCATCGTGCCCCAGTCTCACTCCCACAGCCTTACCCAGTGCTCCCTGGGTGCTCTGATTCAGTTGGAGTTTTCCCATGAAGAAATAACCTTGGCCATCAGCCGCTTCTTGTCTTGCCTGACCGGATTAATGTTAACGAATCTGCAGATGACAATGAAGGTATTGCACTGTAAAATGACAAAACAAGTTACAAACACACCCACAGAACTGCCAGATTGCCACCTTTGCCAGGAGTCCACACTGATGAATCACACCCATGTGGTTGGTACCCTTCCTCCTGGTGGAGGAGGCAGCTTCTGCTCTTCTGTATTTCACAGAACTACAAAATGGTTTGGGTCAGAAGGGACCTTAAAGATCACCCAGTTCCAACTCCTCTGCCATGGGCAGGGACACCTTCCACTAGACCAGGTTGTTCAGAGCCCCATCCAACCTGGCCTCGGGCACTTCCAGGAATGAGGCATTCACAACTTCTCTGGGCAACAGATCTTCTTAACACCCCAAAACAAAATCTTATCAAGTTAATGCATCACCCTTTATAAATCCAAGATGACACTGCTGATGGGAGCACAGCTAAAAAGCTCAGTGAGCAAGTAATAACCTTTTCTTTAGGGACATCCGATTGTAAGGGGTGACAATTGCCTGATGAACCTCGTGCCATGGTCACTGCTGGCTCTCCTAAATATCACCTCACCTCCAACAGCCAGATTCCCAACAGCCAGTAACATACAGCAAGTAGTTTATTGTAACAGATGAGAAATTCCTAAAGCTCTTCCTACTAACAAGGCTGCTTCAAAGAGCTTTAGTCACTACATTTTTCCACATCCTTGCAATATGTTTACAGGGTTTCCTAAGACACTGTCATTTTGTCTGCTACCACAAATCCAAACATTCCTCAGTCACAGGAAAGTCTCCAATTTAGCTGAAAAGTAGGTATTATTTACTGTTCTGTTTTGATACAGCCAGTCTCACATATCACATCAGCACCAAGTAGGAATTTAGCCAAGCACAATCATACACAGCCAACACAACCCCCCTGGGAAGGTTAAATTACTTGTACCTGATACAACAGCAGGTAGAGATGAATTTAAAAAAATACCTCTAAGTAAGAAGGGCCAAAACCCAATCATGTTGAAGTATGGACACCTGTTTTAAAAGGCTTCTTGCCCATGTCACCTGGAGCTGTGCTCCTACATACCCTCTGAACCCTTACAATGGCAAAACTGAATGTCCCTTGATTGTCAAACATCTCCTCAGCAATAGTCCTCTGAAGGACACAAAGACCAGCGTCCTGCAACACTCAGACACAAACCTGCTTCTCCCAGGAGGAATAACTGTGATTTTGTGTTCTCAGGGGGCTTGGAAAGAGACTGAAACTATGACTTCCAGCAAGGGGGGTACTCCAAACCCTAAACCAGCAGCATCAGTCTAAGGCTTTACGAGCTGTTCGGGGTTGTTTGCATTCCTCAGGCTGGGAGGTGTGTGCCCAGGCACCCAAAGGGAGTGGTTTGTCTTCTCAGCTCTTGCAAAATCCAATTACTCAAGATCTATGACGAGCTGCCACAATGCTGTGCTGTTTGATTTCTCGGAGATCAGAAACATCTCAGATAACTTTAACAGCAGCCAAAAGGCAGCTGTGAAAACCTGTTTTTACCATCCCTTTGAAAAGAGTTAACAGACTCCTGAAAATTTATGGCTTCAATGAATACAAGGTATTTATTTAAAAGTTCAACAGATACTTTGCTACACAACTCAAAGTCGAACCTTGCATGACATCACAGGTTTCCATCAGAAACTTCACTACCGTGAAGCAACATTAATGAAAAAAGTCATCTTTGTGGAAAAAATCAAATAAGTAGACCTATAATTTCGGTGTGTTTGGTTTTTTTACCTATACTTTGTATGCAAACAAAAGCTTTTTAAAGAATCTTGTTAAGACTGAATAAAAACCTTAGAGTTTAAAAATACCCTTTTGTTGCTCTGTTCCTCATTTACCTTTACCCTCATACGTATCCCTATTAAACATCCCACACCACAGTCTTCAGTTCTTCACTATACACTTAAGTGCTTCATGCATTCACCCATGTTACTGAATGGAACAGTGAGCCTAAAAAGAGGCTCTGAAGATGCACAGTAAGGTCAGTTCAATATGAACCAACAGGGGGGGAAAAAAGAGAGAAAGAAGAAATCCTGAGAAGTTAAAAAATTCCCAGTTACATTTGCAAAAAGCCCAGTAAGCTTCCCAACTGTTTGGATCCTAAGCATCCAGCAAGTAAATGAAAATCTGAAAGCCTCAAATGTGGACTATATAAATACTTTGCTCCGCCCTCCCCCCCAAGTCCTCCTGCAAAGGATTTACCAGCATACAAATTCATTCCTGAACAGAACTGAGCAGACATTTGAACAGGTTTTTATACTGATTTTATTTGCTGAGTTTGGATAGCATGCATCATTTTACAGCACCAGTATAAAGTCAGTGAAGCACACAGCTCGTAGGAACTTGTACTGTGGAATGTCTTCAAAACCATTATCCTCTCCCCCTCCACCGCAGTACATAACACTGGCTGAAGACAGGACAGACACATATCGGGGCAACTTCCTTATGGCTAAAAATACTCATAGCAGCAACTTTTAAAGAAGGGTTCAATAAATCAAGTCATTGCACTTGGGTCATTTATTGCTATAGCGAACAAAGGCCATTAAATAACAAACGCCTTCCATTTGTGGCTTTAACTGATTGTCTTGTTCTGTTCATCCTCTACAAGCTCACACAGAGGCACAACTTCTGCAGAGCAAATCCATCCCAAGATTTGTTTCGTGCTCCAACCACAGTGAAGAGCTTGTATAACAAAACTGGGTATTCCAGTAGGCTCAATTCTTGCTTTCCATCACCTGCTTTAGGGGTGAATTCCAAGCAAGGGTTTAGTGTCTGACGAGAAGCATTGCTGCTGCACATGATTCCTCAATATAAACACATGGCTCAACCCTTCATTTGTGGTGCATTTAGGCAATTCAAAGTTAAAAGCATTAATATTGAATCAGCTTATTACCAATTTGACTCGCAAATATTACTCAATACCTGCATAGTATATTAATCAAATTTCATTAACTATTTGAATCAGCAATCAACGAACATCCTCCAGTTGACTTTCTGACATTTAATGTTTTATGATGCATCAACTGTGGAAAAAGTACACTCTCAAGAAGTAACACTTCCATGTCACTTGAGCTAGTGACATACTAAATAATTACTATACGTATGACCACTCTCATGAATAGAAGTTTAATTACTTCTTTTATTGGTGAAGTTGCCAAACTATGTGACACTTTTTTGTCATTTAAATTACAGCAGATCAAAAGGAGATGAGCTGATTACTAACACAATTAATGCATTTTGACTGGCTTTATAAAGCTGTATGTTTTTTAATTCTTTAATCAAACAAACACAGCAATAAATACCATTGTCTCCCATCACTTTGCATATTATTTGTATATTGTTCTGCTGCAAGTGCTGAGCTCAGGGGCTAAAGATAATGGCAATCCACAAGATTTCAACTGTTTTCCATAAAATAAAGACACTGTCTTGGACATCAGCAAAATCATGTCAAAGCAATTGTTCCAATTACTCATTAAAATACAAAGGTGTTATTAAATTTAGAGGTACACAGTATACTGAGAAAGGTCATGGCATAAATATATAAATATTGAGACCTTTTGAGAGTATCAAAGTTCCAAAGGGATTTATTTGGAGACATGTTATAAACAAAACCTGACTATTGTAAAAACAGATCAAGATGCATATTGAACCATTACAAAGATTGATGACTTCAGTTTAGATATACAGGTACACAGACGTCGTGACTTAAGGTTTGCTTTTCCATGCTGCATACTGGAGTATTTCAGGCACAACAGGTTAAGACTGGACTCAAGCCTTTTTTCTGTATTTCCTGCATTTTGTGGTTTTACAAACTGATTTTTTTTCATAATTTCATGATTCAGTCCTAAATCCCTTTTTAATCCAATAGTGCAAGTGACAAACCGTTCTGCTGAACTACTCGGATTAGATCATCCATTCTCACTACAATGCATAGGAGTTTCACCTGCTTCATTGCACTAACAAATTCCTATCTCATTACTCAACTTATAAACAGCACAGTATTAATATTCTCACTGCAGACAGGCACAACAGCATAACCCTGGGCGAGACTGCCAAAATTATACAAATATCATATATTCCCTTTTGCATGTAGGGGAAAAGTAGTGACTACAATTACAATACAGTTATTCCACCCCTCCCAATAGACTATTTTACAGATTAGTTGTAAAGATAGATCACCCTATTTATAGTATAGATCTCTTTAAAAATTAAGCTACAGGTATTCCATAAAAATCTATTAAGAATTCCCTCTCCTTTCTATACAGATTCAGTAGTATTTTCTAGCAAACCAAAAAAATAAGGTCTGCAATTCCAGCACAGTAAGAAATAAGGCCTCTTTTATATTGGCAAAAAAATTACACCATTATTCTTTTTTGTTTTCTTATCTCTCTGAATATAAGACTATATTCCTTTTTTTACTATATTTTTTCTTTAAGACCGTAGAACAACAGCATCCATTATTATGAAATAAGAGTCAGTTCTCCTTGTGTTCAGCTTTGAATTCCTGGTGAGTTAAAAACATTGAGTCCATAGCTCTCATGTAGACATCACTGCTTTCTTCAATTTTTCTATTTCAAGCTGGAAAATGGACATTTTGAAAAGAAAGTCAGTATTAAAGTAGCAATAAAGGAAAGTCTTCAGAGCTTTCACCAAAGTTGTAACATTTTCAAATACACTGAAGTAAATAATATTGTAACATTATTGCATATAACAGCTCAATATTTACAGTTGATTTGGTAATACTATATTGCTAAACAAACAGGAACATAAAATCATTAAGAATTTGCCTACAGTTCTGGTACATATTGTCGGATAAACTCACTCTGAACAAAGCAAAGCTGGGTTATGGAATCACTTGATGTGTCCCGATGTGACGCTGCGTCATTACCTCAGAGTAACTTTCTAAAACAGCCTTCATACAAAACACTGTGCCATGATCAATTTGTATTTCTTCAAATGCACTTAGAGGATACCTGGAAGTTACCTCTTCTTCATCCCCAGTGCATATTTAAGGCAACTGCATTGATTGCTTTAGAGACACGTTAAAAAGTGGACTCACCAGAAGTTGGTCTCAAGCGTCAAAAGTAGCTTTGTAGTCAGTAAGATGCACTACCTCACAAACAAAATGCCCTTTTGTACCAGACTGAAATAACTTCCTACAATGAGCTCATCCTATTAACTATTTAATGGCATCATACTGCAATGCAGGCAGTGGTCTTCATCAATGAATTGAGGAGTGGTGTTCATTCATAGGGAAATTTTTCAGATGCATTCTGTTCTTTTGGCCAATTATCCACACTTAATATTTAGACACTTCATCAAAAATTTAGAGCCGTTTATTTTTGCCCTGTTTTTCTTTTGATTCCCTGAAGTAAATTTGTCTTTCAATCTTAAAAAAGCAAAGTATTACCTGTCTCTCTTAGAACATGTCCAGTTGGACATATTTCTAGCAACACTAAACTGAACTCACATCTCAACACCCACACACTTTGTTACAAATAGTATTCCAGGTAACAAAAGCTGAACTTGGATCTCCTATATACATCCAACTGCCTTGTGAAGGATTCATTCAACCACACACTAACACAGCAATGCAAAAAAAGACTGAACAGGTATACTGAGACTTTCCTGCGACATCAAATTCCAAAGCAATGCCTACATACTTCTGAACTACCCGTCCCTTCCCAAACCAGTTACGTTACCTCCAGATTGCTTCGCAACAGCTTCTCTTCTTCCAAATCCTTCTTTAGTTTTTCCAGTTCTCTCCTAATAGTAAAGATACCAGATATACAAGTTAGAGAGGGGCAGAAAAAATCTTCACATTACTGAGGACACACGCTTTGTTTAAATTTTACAAGTGAAACTCACATATGAAGGTACATGCCCACTAGTGAATTGTTACTCAAATGTGTTGGACCACGAGCTTCCATCAACTCCCAACACTTCTTATCTATCACTCTGCACCTATTCCTAATTTTTAATCACAATTTTAAGTAGGCTACTTAAAAGTTTGAAATGTTATGTAACCTGTAAAGTTGAATTTAAGCTAAAATAACCAGGCAATTTCTACAAAGAGAACAAATTACTTAGAACAGAAAATTCCTAAACCATGTTTTATTTCATAATTATGTTCAATCAAGAAAGTGCTAAGAATTACGATCACACACGATGAGGTCACCATGATCACCAGTTCAAATATCTTTCTCTAACAGTCATGTCGATACTGCAAACACTTGTGCACAGTGTTACACAAGGCCAGCACACGTATTTACATTATTACCACAACAAATTACATACTTTTCCTTACAGTGAAAGCATAAACTGTTTGAGAAATACTTTCAAAAAGCTGTAGCAAATGCAGGAGTGCAAAGCAGAAGGGAAAAAATGCGCACAAATTCCAAAAATATTCTGACATCAGATTTGTAAATGTTTAGGACATTTAGTTGGATCAACTTTGAAAGAAAAGTTCTAAATTAATGTTAATATATTATCATACAATACTTTTCTTACTTTTAAGTCTGGCAATAAAGTCATTATAAGATTCTATATATCCCTTTGGAGACTGAGAAAGAAAATATTTACCCGTGTTCTTTCTTCAGTGCGTCTATTAAACCCATCAAATCATTAATCTGAGTCCTGAGCTCTTCCACAGAAATTTTTTCATCATCAGTTTCTCCTTTAAGTTGGATGTCTCCAGGTAAAAAGTCAAGTATGACAGAACTTGGTCTCTGAGATGAAGATGTAATTGGGCTGAATGCAGATGGCTGAAAAAATAAATTAGTAGAAAGCTAAGAAATGAAAACTTTATGAACTGACCACTTACAACACACAGGTTTTACCAGGGTGGGAGCTAAACATGCACAAGTTTCTTTAATATTCAATCTATAAGGTAAAAACAATGCCCAGTTCAAATGTACTACTGTAATACATGAGATAGTTGTTTCATACAGCTCTTAATTAAGGGTTTCCCTGAGATTCCTGAGGGCGCTAAAAAAGTACTCACAGTGCAGTTCTCTACACTTAAAAATGTGGTTTAATGGAGCCCATTGGATCATTATAAATAAACTTTTGTGCACTTTGCTGATCTGCTTAGTTGTTCTGTCAGGAGACCAAAGGCTGAGCAAAACTGGAAGTTATTTGGGAAATACCACCTGATACAACAGTTCTCATCAGAACTGATGCACTTTATACTAAAGATAAATAAACTTCCTACTAAAGTTTTTACTATGAACTTATACTAAATGACACAGCTCACTTACAGTTAAATGCAATCATTTGCCTTTAGGTCATTGCATCCACCTATACTGGAAACACAAGCAAAATGAACAGAACACCAAACTGCCTGGTACTCCTCTAGCTCCTTGGTATCATCATACCTTTTTTGTTTCAACTGGCTTTGGTTTGGCACTTTCTTCTTCTTTCTGCACCTTCAAATTTTTTTCTGGACTCACATTCTGACTTCCCTGGTAAACCATTCACAAAAAATGAAAAGGTTTTCAGAATTAAAAAAAAAAAAAAATTAAATTAAAAAAACAGAACTGTCACATATCTCTAAAGATTCAATAGTAAAGGGGAAACAAGTAACTTAAGTTAAAATTGCTAGACTAGCAGACATTCAGTTAAACTTAAAAATAGGAATCTCGGGCAGGGTTTTCAAGCATATCTGCAATACAAGTCCTTGATGCTTTGGGGAGCCTGTAGATGCTTCCATAAAACATAAATGGCTGATAACTATAGATGGTAACTGGCATAACTGAACTGTACAACACTCAATGACAAAAACTGATTTCAAGGAGTCTGCCCCACCTGCTTCTCATTGTCTGACAATTTCACATTAACAAGTAAGATCACAAGTCCCACATTACAGCAACATTAAATTCCAAATTTGTAGTGACCATTTGCTAGCCTTGTAAGACACTGCAGACACTTTCAAAACTGGATGTACGTGAAACACCTATTCCACCATCAGTCATGACAGAAGAGCTGAGTATTTCCTGCAGCAACACCCCGTGGAACAGAAAGACTCCTCCAGCTGCAAGCAACTCAATCCTGTTGTTTCCCTTACATTTACTTCACAGGACTGTTTCCCAGTGCAGTCCTGTTTCCTAGGAAGTTAGTTAGTAGTTCACTAGTAGAAAAACACGCCCAATATACTCACAGGACTGCTATTGAAACGTGAGGGCAGCCTCCTACCAGGCATCTTGGGCCGGTTCGCAGTCGGGTGTGACAGATTATCTGAGGTAGCTATTACATCATCAAAGCTTAACAGATCTAGAAAAAGATGAAAACAAAGACCACCATCAAGACCAGAAAGTTCTGCTGTGTTCTTTTTATCACTTTATTTTCCTTAAGTCAAAAAAAAAATAAATTCAGAATTCTTACTATTTCAAAGATCTTCAGCATATAGAATACAGGAGCCACATGAAACAACTACATGACTTGGACATATCTGGGAAATCATATTTTCCCCTTGAAAAAAATTAAGAGTTAACTCGAATGAATTTCAAGTTATGAATATAATTGCTGTAGTGGCATTGCAGCATAAAACAAACCTAACAAGTATCTGCAGAAGAACCAATTTATTACTTCTTTCAAGAGCTGCCATATTCAACTACTTGAGAGCATGTTTTGTTGTTGCTAACCTTGTATGAAAATACAAGTTTACTGACTAAGACAAAAATACTAGTAAAGTACACACTGGTGTACGTCACACATTGGTGAAAGTAAGTTAACAGCATTAACTGCACATATTTCTGTGCAGGGTAGTTTTTTCATATGTAGTACCTAAAGAAAATACACAACTTCATAACTCTGTAGTAAAACACTTCAAAACTCCATTCTGATACTTCATTAAATACTATAAATCTCTTTGCTCATCAGTCTCTTATGCTCACAGCTCTAGGTAAACTCTCAGATCAGCAGAAATGGTTTATGTCCTCTGAGAAGAGGCAATTTTAGGAAAAAAAATTAACAGAAAGAACTGAACATAACTAATCTAATAACACAAGTACTTCACCTAATTAACAACTGGACTTCTTAACTATTTCACCACAAAAATAAACATACTTACCTGGCAATAGATGTGTAGTGAGATTAAGTTGTGTTTTTTATTTAAACATTGACTTAAGATTACAGTTATATCATTTTACAAGCCAAATTCATCACTTATTTTATAGATTCTAACTAAAATGCCATACAGCATTTACTACAGGAACCAAAAGTAAAATTTAAGATTGCTTTGGGGTCTTTTTTGTGTGACCTCTGATTCTTCCATGACATTATGATTTAGCGAACAGAACCTATGATACTTCTTTCTCTTTGTTTTTACTCATTTTGAATCTACAGCAAGAGGTTAGATAAGAATAAAAAACTCTGTAAACACCGAGCCAGACCATTCATACCCCTTCAGTGTCTGGATGACTTAAAATCATCTAATTAATGCAAGTTTTACTCACACATTGCCAAAGCTAATTTATACCTGCACATACTGAGTTTTCCATTGAATGTTTTAATTGATTTTAATGTCTTCTCTGTATTAATATCCTTGAAGTCCTTAAAACATTCACCTCTTTTGGACAGCCCTGATCAGATCTACTTCATCACCCATTCCCTTGTTGAAATGAAAGCATTTGTAACACTCTCTGTTACCAATCAGTTTTGCTGCTTTTTACTTCTACGAAAGAGAATGTCAAAACAGTCTTTTGCAAACATGCAACCACATCTGCAATTTAAAAAGCAGGGAAGAAAAATAAAGAAGGGAGAAACAGAAGAATGATGAATGGCAAGCAGCTGATGGAAAAGAGGATGAGGGGGAAATAAATGTGAAGGGATTTCTGTTGCCAATACAATATTTAATACAAGACAAGCAACAGTGACCAAAGGGTGTATCTGCATGGTCTTTACTCAATTATCAGTAACCCCAGAGTACTAACCCATCACAGAATCACAGAATGGTATGGCTTGGAAGGGACCCTAAAGAATACCTCATTCCACACACCCCCACCACAGGCAGGGACACCTTCCACTAGACCAGGTTGCCAAAATGCAAATTAGGATTTATGTTACCTAGGTGTTATTAAAAAGCTAACAAGAAAAACATTTATGCCTTTTCCTCCATCTCAGTAATTTCTAACTGTAAACAATCCTCCTTTTGTCATTCTGCAGAAATGACAAATCATTTGGCAGGAAATTTAAATAAGAATTAAAAATTGAGTTGCTATTATGATTGTAATGCTAGCCCTGTCTCCGTGAACAAAGCAAACATCAGGCACATTAAGAATATTAAGAACTTACTAAGAATAATGTGATGTTCCAAAAATAAAAAAAAAAAATCACAATATTTGATAAGGCTTGAAGATGAAGACTGTAGCAGTCTCAAACTGTAAATCATTTAAATATAGATGGTGGGATAACACTAAAGCCAAGAATTTTTTCCACATTACTAGAAGTTTCTAAAGGAAATTGTTACATTTGAGAGAATTGCTCAGCATTAAAATATTACCAGCAGATTACAGTCAGAGGGAATTCTGACTGCACTTGCATTTTCATTTTTACCTCTCTGTTAGTATGGGGAAGAAATTAGAACACAGGTTGGTGGGAATTTGTGTTTGTGTTTTTGATGGTGGGTTGGTTGGTTTCTTTGCAGGCTTAGGGGGTTTATTTGATTGTTTTTCTTTTTAAACAGCATTTTTAGTTATTTTAAGAGAAAATTAAACCAATAAACCATTAAACCATTAGATATACTGATGAAACCCACTGTAAGTTCAGAGTTGACACCCATTTCAATCAATAAAGTGATTTATCAATTAAGATTCTTACAGACAGCCTGTGAGTAACTGCTGAAGGAAATCCCATCACAGCGCCAAAAGAGCAATACCACACATCTGGGGATACTCTGAGTCAAAACAGAATTTTAAGGCTGAGCAAGGACATCTTTCTTTCTAAGAAGACAAGCTAAGCTTAAACATGTACACAGGATGGACTACTAGAAAAGTCTCTTCTGCAAGCTTACCATGGATCCATCACAGAACTGTTAGGAGCTTTGATGTAATTAGGTGAGAGGTTTTGTTAAGATTTGTGAATGCTTCAAGTGTATTCACAGCAGTTTGCCTTAAAAAGCCTTCACAAAAAGAAGCAAAGCTGAAAGGGTGTCCAAAGAAATTACGGTTCCACTATCTCATGTGGCTGGGGTTTAAACACCCAAGATACAAGTGAAATGTATCCAATATTTTAGAGGACAAAAACTCAATCTGTGGAGTAAGAAGATGGCAGCCCTTTCTCCTATTCCTCATCCTGCTGAGATTTCACCCCTCAAAATTTAGGGGACAGATATAAGCTTTCAAATATTCACATGAGCAGTCAAGCAATAGTAAGGTATTTGATACAATTAAGAATGTGCCTAATATAGAACTTTTAAAACTACTGTTTTACAAGACTCATGATACTAAATAGTCAACACTAGTGGATCCATTGCCTAAAAGCTTCAAAATTGCATAATTTATGTGTACAGAGTGATAAATCCCTTCAACCTACATATACCTAAAGGTACTGAACACATTTCAGTATAAACAAACACTAGGTTTGGCTTATCAATAGCTGAAATATAAGTTTTTTCTAATTTTGTTTTAATCTCCAGAAGTTCCTAATTGAAAAGCATACTTAAAGTAACTTCTTTTAACAGCTAAGGAAAACAGGCATTCAAACAAACAAATAAAGCATTTTAAATAGAAACCCCAAAGTTTTACTACCAAGAACTGCAACTGAAAATCACGCTTATGATGTTAAGAAGAGGATATGTGTATGGAATAAAGCATTTGGATTTCCTTATAGATTGTTATCTTACCAAAATGGAGAAGGGTAGGGTAATTTCCTGACACGTAAGAAGGGAAACATGGCAAACAGGATAGGAAACAAAATCTGGAAAGAAAAGTCAAGGAGAGGAATGTCTAGAAAAAGATTCTGAACAAAAAAATTATTTTACAAAGCAGGAAAAAGAAACATTTGTAGAAGAAACAGAATCGCTTTACATGTTCAGCATGCCAGTATTAAAGCTTTAGTCTTTCACAGCACTTGAATTCTAATCCATCAAAGAACCATTTATGCATTTTTTTCAAATAACACTTCAAGAGGAGCTATTTCAATGTGATCAATGTTTCTGAATGGTTTTGAGTATTTGTCCTCATCTGATGGCTGGGGGCCTAATTTTGGTAGACTAGTTTGTTTTTTCCTTACACAATATGCACAGCTTCTCCTTATGCTAAATTGAAAGTGGCTCAACCTACACCATACTAAGTTGCAGAAAACCAGAACCCATACTTAAAAATAAATTGATTTTCTAAAATTTCATTCACTTTAGCATTATAATCTAAAGGTGCAGGGGAGGAACTAAAAATAAAGACTCTGGTAAAGCAGTTGCCAGCCTCAGCCATACATTTTCCCTCATCTTTTAGTATCTATACTGGTTATTGTAAGATTAAACAGCCTTAAACATTACATAAGGACTCAACATCTTTTGAGTTTTATAGAGTCTTGGCTGCACAGAGTATTATGTCTTTAGCAGCAGAATATATACAAGGAAATAGAGCATGAGATTAATTATGTTTTACTGGCAAGATTTTGGACTAGTCTTTTTTCACAAGAGTTATAAAACTAAAAGTGACTTATGCGGATTGTTTTGAGGAATGTGAGTTTGACATAACAGAGGATTTTTGAAACTGTCCTTCAATAGCAGCTCCTTGACCCTGTCAGTGCTGCATCCCCACATGGACTCCCTGAGCCAAACAAGGGCCACTGAACAGACCTGACCCACAGTCTTGTCCTGCACCTCTGTCCACCACACCATCTGGGTATTAAAAACTTTACTTGCTCCATAAGCCTGAACAAACTTACATCAACAAAGCAGAACTCACAGATTTATTTTTTTTTCTAAACTGTATGAAACTAAGAGGTTTTATATATATATATGAACACCTGATACCACAGCTACTATGTTACCACTGTGGTTATTAAAGTTGTCAAGATAACTGCACCTGAAGAAGAAAAAAAAATATATTCCATCTGTTTTCATAGGGAGTTTTTTCCTGAGGTTCAATGATACTGTGCTATACAGTAACACTTCTAATACAACCCCAGAGATAATCATAGAATCACAGAATGGTTTGGGTTGGAAGGCACCTTAATATCATCTTATTTCAATCCCGCTGCCATGGGCAGGGACACTTTCCACTATCCCACGTTGCTCAGAGCCCCATCCAACCTGGCCCTGAACACTTCCAGGGATGGGGCAGCTACAGCTTCTCTGGGCAACCTGTGCCAGAGCCTCACCTCCCTCACAGGGAAGAACTTTTTTCTAGTATCTAATCTGAGTAGTAGGACAAGGCTCACATATTAAGATTAGGTTCGCATCCCTCTTTCATCTCTCAGCTTATTTTGGCCTGGAAGTCTTTCTTCCACACCCTCACTCAAACTCATCTTTAAGTAGAGGCAATAGATAAACTGTCAATTCGAAAGCTTCAAAACAAGGCATATCACAGCACAGGCACAGACTTTCTGGGAAATAAAAAATGAACTTATCCTTTAGGGTATCGCTGATAATATTTGTAGTGTTTCCAGGATATATGGTTACCTGCTGAAGTCCAGCTTTTTGTGGCTCAGAAAAATATAACTTTTGTATTACAAACAAACAAGAACTAACCTTTATTCATACAAAGCATTTACGCTTAGAAGCACATTTTAAAATGATTAATAAAAAAATCAGGAGCACTCTTTTCTATTCATAAACTGCTTCAGTTTTTCTAATGCATTATTTTTATCTTCCAGATGAATTTATTAAACTTTAGAACCAACTATTCCACAATCAGAATATCGTGATTGGCTTAAAAAATGAAATAAATCAAGCTATATTATTTTAAAGTGTATTATTATTAAAAACCTTTTCTGAGATGAAAAGTTGCATTTGAGATGTGCAAGACACATACTGCAAGTAAAAGTCACTAAATCTTTTTATATGCTGGTTAATCACACAATTAATTTAGAGTTTAGAAAAATATGCCCGCAGCAGGTGATCTCTGCCTAAGAGACACACAAAAGTCTCGTATCAGTTGCACTGTCAGTAAAGGACAAAAGGTAACTATATAGTAGCTCAGTCTGATTCTCAAATGTGGGTGCTTTAACTACTGTTAAAGTTTTACTGGATATGTCTAGAATGAAAGAGATGCCAGGTTTGGCTCAAGGTGCATTAAGCAAAGCCTTATGCGTGAAATTCAAATGTACAATGCTCATGCTGGCCCAAATTTAAAGTATGATAAAAGTCATAATCTAGAATAGCTCTGAACTTAAGAAGGCTGAAGGTAACAGCATTGCTAAAAATACACGAGTTAGCTGGAAAAGCAAAAGTTATCTGAAATGCAAGAGCAGAACAAACAGAACCAGTCAGTAAGAAAAACAACTTCATAAAAACTCAAGATAAAAGTAGCAGCTAAAAAAGCATGCATTCAAATTAGAAGAACATTTCCCCCTTCCTGTCCACTGTTACAACACAGAGCTCGTCAGCCACCTCCAAATACCCTGCTGACATCTGTTCATCCCTTCATCCCTTCCTCACTCTTACCTTCAGCTATCTTCAGCAATTCTAAAAAACTACATTTTCCACTGAACAGGCAAAACTGCATTCAGTGGTATTTTGAGTAAATGACCTAAAAAGCTTATTCCAACCCTGTGAAACACTGCAATCCAAAGAAAGACCCAAAAGAACATTTACTCTTTTCTTACCTGATTCTTTAGAGCTCTTTACCACAAGTGAATCTACCTCTACTGATTTTGGTCTATGTGGTAATGGTTCAGAGTCTAACTTTGGTTTTGCTACTGGCTCAATTTCAGATTTTGGTCGAAGAGAAACAACTTCTCCATTAGTTCTGTAGTAAGAAAAAAACCAACAAAACATACCTAGTCAAGAGATTAAACAGTTTAACAGCAAAACATTCCAAGAATTAGATGTAAATGGAAAAATATTGTTTTCTAAAGCCTTGGTTAAAATCAAGACTTTTGGAGACCAATTTTATTCCTATAAAAGCCAATTCTTCTCTTCCAGCTCTTGCAGAATTGTCAAACATGTACAAACCCGTTGTGAAAATAATCCAGAACTTTTTCTATAGGGCACACTTTGGCACTGCAGTCCAAAGTATTACACTTCAGAAAACAAGCGAGCTGAATAACATCTTCAGGAATATCTCTTGAACCAATTCAGAATCTGACTCCTTGAAATTAAACAAATATTCCTGCGCAGGAAAAAACCTGCCAAGAACAAGTTATTTCTTGCTTCATGCAGAATAAACTACCCTGTATACATGGCTTTTGTTCCACCATGCATTCTTTGCATATCTGCTCACATCATTCACAGACACAAAAACAGAAAAAACAACCAACCACCAAAAACCCCAAAGAAATAAAACCCCCACCAAAATAAATAAAGAACAGATAACATTTTCCTTTGAAATTCTTGCAATCACAAACCCTGGCTGACTGGGCCTATACGTGCCATATATAAACTGACCAGCTGTCACCTTCAATGTGTCCCTGTCATTAATTCACCACCCAAAGCCTTCATTTGGAAGTTTCACTGCAGCAGAAAAAGACACAGCAGCCTTATCTTCCTAAAACAATTTCAAACTTTCAGACATTTAAATACCTCTAAGATTTAAAGGTTTCAATTACTAAAGGCTACAGACCTCTATTTAACTGCACATGTATACTCCCTTTAGAGTCATAATTATTTTCTAAACAAGAGAACATGACTTGTGGTTTAAAAAAGTAAAATCTTTACTCAGGAAAGTCCCCAAATACCAAGTCAATATAACACAGTTCTATACTGAAAAGGTATTTAAGGTGCAAGCTCTTTGATGTAGCAGCTGTCTGCTCCTTTATTTGCACAAGGCCAAGTGCATCATGACCTTACTTTCTCAAGGTTCTTTTAAGCCAATTGAATATCCCAAGGGGACAGTAACCCATCAGCAGTTTATTTACAATTCTGGGTAAGGATCTAGCAAATACTTTGATGGAGAAAGAAAGGAACACTGTGTGGGAGAATATACTGATGTAAAATTAGTCTTAGAGAAAAACTATAAATAATTGTTTTCATTTCATGAGAAAAAAAAAATTAAGTGGATCTAAAAGAAGTATTTGTCCCTGTTTGTCCAGTAATCCAACTGAAAAGGCTCAACAGTACAGAGAGTCAATGTGCTTCTGTACTAAGTGCTTTTTTCCCCCCCAGAGGAGAACATGAGCCATACTGAGTGCCTTTAGCACAGGTACTACCTGTGCTCAATTCTGCCTTTCCATCTGTCTTGTCCTACACAAAGTGTTGAAACACTGAACACTGAGGCAGCTCAAATCTTCAGGGTTTTTTTCAACACAATAGTAATTCTCAAGGGCTGTGTCCCCAGATTCTTTTACACCATCAAGCTACTGTAGCTACAGCTTCTACTACATTGTGGCGCAGGCTTAAAGTAAAGTAGCCCCCAGGTGTGTAACTTCACCTGGTTAGTTATGCTGTAATACTGACTCTGAGATGGATTCAATGTCTCAAAGAATTTGAAAGGTTTACGTTCACATTGATAAAGACTTGTTGGAAAACTAAGACACCGGTTGGTGTAGGGCAAAATTTATCCTTTTCACCCTTAAAACACACATTTCTTCCCACCTCAACCATGAGAGAAGATCAAACAACAAACCAAATAAAATATACCCAGCGCGCACAGTTTAAGTTGTACTGACTTAGGTGCAGGTGACGGCAAACCAGGTTTATCCGGACGCTTTGGGTGCAGGAGTCCTGCTCTCAGTAAGCTGTTGGTCTTGCTTGGAGGAATAGGCTTCTTGGGTGGTACTTGAGGAGCTTGTGGTTTCAAAGGCTTCTGATCCAAAGCTCCTTTTTCATCTGACAAAATAAGTTACTATTTTAAAAACACTATGCTGTCTATAAAACCCTTACACCGCTAATCCATCAGAAAGCAACTGCTGTCAGAAATACCTTCTTTGAAGATCAAAGTTAAAAACAGATATGTGTCTTAAGTGATGCCTTATCAAGACACACAAACTACTTACCTGATCTTAAAAACCATTATCTTAAAGTAAACAAAATATCTTTCTACTGACATGAAACTGTGGTAAGAAATTATGGATCATATTATCACACTACAAATGACGGTTAAGAACCAAGAGTCTCTATGTACAGCAGTAGAAATAAAGCTACTGCTTTATCTTTTTTATGAATTCACCTTATCTCCTTTCAAAAAGAGAGGATTTGGGTTTTATTTTGTTGTAACCAGACTTCTTCCATGCACACAAGCAGCACAATTATCTCTGAGAAAAAAGGGGGGAAATGAGTATTTATTTAAATAGCCGAATTTATTTTAGATAAAGTCTACTTTCCTACAAATAGATAGGAATTAAGTATAAATAATCAAACAAAAAAAAGTTAAATTTATTTTTCAGTGACTGCATGACCTAATTGAATATTGTCCAGAGGAGCTGACATATTACATGGGAAACTGAAGAATTCAAGCTGCTTCACAAACATTAGCTGAATACTTTTCAACCCACATTCCCTAATCCTACCTTGTGGGATATCCAGAACACATCTTCTACTTTTTCCTGTAAAACTATGCCACAGTTCCATCAGGCATGCACAAAGTAGTGAGGATTTAAAAAAATAACTGTTAGGTTACAGCAAGGGGTTACAGTTCCTCACAGTTAGTGCCCTTATAGGGCAGTAAATCAGTAAACTGGGATGGAGAGAGTGACCTTCAGCTTTGATTCTCCCCATTCTCCCCTCCTATGACTTTGCTTTTAACCAAGTATTGATCTAATGTAAAATGTCTGTACACGGTATGGATTTGGGAGCAGGGGTGGATATTTGCCTTAACTCCCTGCCAGCAAAGTGCCTGAACTGCCAGGTCTGTGACTGATTTACTGTGGACAAGTCCTGTAGCCACTAAAGTCCTCCAACCCTAAAATGGGAAGAGGTCAGTTTTCTTTCACACAAATCTCTGGTAGTAAACAAATCCCAGAGATCCTTCTGCCAAAAGCATTGTCCAGGGCAGAACTGCCTTCCTGCTTTGGGACACTTGAACATCAGCAGGAGCTATGAACAAAAAATCTAAACTGGTTGGTAACACCTTCCAGTCTCTCTCAGCGTGGAGTTAAAAAACCAGGATAGCGGAGCAGTGGAAGGATTTACCACACGGTGGTGCTGGCTGCCCTGTGCAAAGCAGCCCCTCAGCAGCGCCAGGCACTCCTGCCTCCCCACCCTACACAACATTTACATTTTAAATGCCCAATAGCAGCCAATATTAACTGCAAATCAATTGGCTTTATTTAAGCGGTGCTGAACACAAGTTGAGAATTACCCCTTTAGCTTTTAAGAATAAGTGGGTTCATAAACAAGGCAGAAAACGTGCTGCCATCGAATCGTATCCTTGAATTCTTATCTGTCAGTTTTCCCTTCAATTACTCCCACTCAAAATCTGAATATAAAAACTGTATACAGCTAAGTAGAAAAAGTTAATACCAAAGGTCAAGGTTCACCATGAGCACAGAAACTGGACATTTCTGCTGGACAAAATTACATGCCTCTTTCTTGGATTTTGCTCCTCAATGAAAAAGAAGGCTGGCTTAAAAATGAGCAATTTAATAATGGAAATAAAGATACTAATCTGAAGGCATTTACACTGGACAAAAATTTCTACATGACACCACTAAATGCCCTTCACCATAAATGCAGAAATACTTACAGGAGTATTGCTTTTAATTTTTGATCACAATTAAAGGCAGATATATTAGTCTCCCAATAGGCATAAAAAATTACATGGTTTGATAGCTTGTGATTAGAGCTGCTCAATTAATACTTTTTTTTTCCCAAAAAAGTAATTACAGAATGATTTCATACTTAATGAGTTTAATCACTAATATTAACACATGGTTATTCTTCCAAAAGTACAACTGCACTGATAAATGGGCATATCTTTCAGTAATACATGACTACTATCTGAAAAGTAACTTTTAAGGCCTGACCTGAAACTGAATACAGGACAAACTTTTCCTCCATCATTTCCTGTATCTCAATAAAGGATGGTTCTCTACTTTATATAATTTTTCAGAAGGTTTCACATTCCTAAGTATTTTGGATGGTATCACTCAATATTTTTTTTCCTATATTCCTCCACAAACAGTTGAGCTCAACTATGTGAAGGTTAACACCAAGGTACAAACAGATCAGTCTAAAATTAAACTTATTTCCATTTAAAAGAATTTAAAAAGAGACCAGTAATCAAAATTTTTGGAATCATAGAGTTGATCTCAAGTCATACCTGGAGATACTGTTCCAACAGATAATAATAATTTGTTTGCTCACATACAGAACAAACAGAACTGACTTTAACAAGTATTTTCGAATGCAACACCAGAGAAGGTGCTTTGTATAAAATGAGGGTTATAAAAACTTCTCAAGGAAACCAAGAAACCCATGGAGCAGGCTCACTTGTAGAAATGCTGGTCAGCCACTGTTCTCTATTCAGAGAACAGTGTGATTTTGTAATTTGGTTAAGTTGCAGTAACATCAGAACTTCTCCTACAAGGCCCAACCAGTACATTTGTTTAAGCTTCTCACTTTTAAACACAATCAAAACACTGTGACTAGGAAAGCTTTTCAAACATCTAAAGATGCCTTTTAGAAATGTGTTTGGCGTGATAATAGTAGTTTTTCTTCTCAAAAAAACTGCCCTTTAAATTTTAAGAACAGAGCAGTAAGCATCTCCAAATTCTGTGGAGCTTGAAAACATGGAATACATCAAGAATTAATAGGAAAAGAAATCTCTGTTTCTGAGCATTGTGACTGTAACATCTGTCTAAGGAGTGTTGTAACTGTTCTGTGCAATTCTTTCAAAATATTCTCGATCAGAGACTGATTTTGGCCACAACTTTCAGAAGCAGCAGTTAACCTTTCCATTTCTAATAACTTATTACTGCTATTCAAAACTGCAGTCACTGTCACAAAACTACCCTTATATGAATTTAACTATGTTACTGTGCAGTGCAGTAACCTATTTTCAGAATTTAATGCAATAACAAGAAATAAACATTCCAAAAGAGTGCAGCTATTGTTCTAACCACTCCAGACATTTCCGTAATATCACAAACACAACAACTTCAGCAAATGGTATCAAGAGAGTCTGTATGATGTCTCCTGAACAGGGAGCCTACTTCCAGAGCAGACAAGCCAAAAAACTGTAATTTGTTTACAAGACCACGGTCTGAAATCCACCATGAAAAAACTGGTCTCACCTTTTTCTTCAGGCTTCAAAGATGGGAATTTCTTCTCTCCAGTTGGCAGTTCAGGCCTTGGAGCTGAATGAAAAAGCAAACCATAGGCATTTCTCAAAAAGCCTTAATTATCTTGGTCACTAACTAAAAATAAGACACACACCAAGCTGTGTTTATATTTTTTCCTCTGCAAGGAGTGTAATACCATTTATAATCACTCACTTGAGCCTAGAAAATGGCAAGCCTGTATTAAAATGTTTCCAAAGTAGGCTCCATCATAACTTGGAAAAATACACAGCAGCAGCAAAACACACAAAGCATGAAAAGTAACCCCAAAGTGTGACTATGGGTGGCTGCATTACTAGAAAATACAAAGCTACTTCTGAATTTTCATTTGAAATCATGCACTCCTTCTGAAATTTAGTATTTCCTCAGACATGTACCACCATACACATACTACATACCTGGATTTTTAACTGGAGGTGGAGGTTTCTTTGGCTTCTGCAAAAATGAAGGAAAAAAAAAGAGTCAAACAAACAAGCAAACAGATATTCTCTACCCAAGACAGCCTCACTTGCATTTTGTTTTGCATATTGTAACTTCAAGCTTGTTTATTAGCTGATTTCAAAGTATTTCACAAAGGAGGCAATCAATTTACAGAGAGGAAACACAAGAGAGCTGGAATAATTCCTCTGATATCTCCCAGACAAGCAGCTGCAAAAACAGAAACAAAATGCAGGTTTCTTCAAATCAGTGCTTCAGTAACGTGCATAAGCAGCAGAGGGACAAACAATTATATCTTTCCTAGTCTAAAGAATTGTTCTGGTCACTCTCATTTTAATTTCAATATGTAAACCTCAATCCAGTAAACCTCAATCCAGTACAATTCCAGTTTAAAAGAGTAACCAGGTAATTTTTTGGACCAAAAATTGTCACTTTCACTAAAACAAAAAAAGCTTCTAAATTAAGTATCAGAGTAATGACTTAAATTGACTTCTAAATTACAGGTGCAAAAACAAATAATTAGCAGCATTTCTCTCATAAACATTGCAGTTAAGAAAAATACTCCTTTGAGTTTCCTTATCACTGTATATTTAAGTGGGAAAGAGGATAAACCTACTCTAGCCATTAAAAATTTACACAGTATCAGAATGCAACAGTTCGTACATGGAAATTGCCTGTTCTGAAACAGTCACTCACTTCTTTCACTTCCCTTAAAGTGATACAATTGAATTTCAAGTTCTCCTGCTCAAAGAGGACTGGCACCTCTCAGGACTGGTCTCAGTCACTCATCCCCAGAATCTGACTCAAGAAATTGCTCTAGAAGAGGTGCCTTTATGATTGTACTAAGGACCAGGCTCGCTGATAAAAGATCACAAAAGCCTACAAAACTACTTGTTCTTTATCCAAACACTGCTGAAACCATACAGGTTCAGTCTAACACAGCCCCTCCAAAAAATGCCTCATAGTTGGTATTTTTAAAACAGTTGCTATGGATAGATTTCATTTCTGTGTCCCTACTGCTATTGCATAAGCTTTTCTTAATGCACCAAGATTTTATTCTGACACATGAAATGTAATTAAGCAAGTGGGGAACTCATATCCAATTTCTTGCCCTACTTTCAGAGGACACAAAAGCAAAGGAACTTAAGTAACAAGACTGTTTTCTTTCTTTCCCACAAAAGCAACTACATTGTCCAGCTGTGCAGCATTGCTGCCTACATCAAAACCAATTACGCTGAGAGTTTGGAATCAATGCCATTATATGATTCTGATCTGTGTTTTTAATAAAGTTGATATCAAATAGCTGATTACAATAATCAGCCATCCAGTGCCTTGAACCTCAAAGCTGCTCAGTGCAAGGTGAATCCCTGCACTGAGACACCCGACACAAAGCAGAATAAAGGATCAAAGCGAGGTCCGTCTAAGGAAATGCTCTTTATGGTTAAAAGAACGGGGGTTTTCCCCCCTCTCTCAAGGGAGCAATTCTATGTATTGTGAAACAGTGATACCACCCACCCACCCCTCCAATCAAGTCACTTGTATGTTACAGCTTTTATGCCACCCTTGAGCAGCTGAGAAACCACGTGAAAAGAAAGTGCTGATTTGGGGTACGTAGATTTTCTGTGTAAGTGAGGCAACTCAGGTTAAATGATAAATAAATAACTCCTGTTCTGGAGCTGATTCCAACCCACCTGGAGATGACATATATTTGTGAATTAACAGAACCAGCTTTGCTACACACACTTTACAGAACCAAAACATCACACTAATCTCAACAAAAAAAACCTGTTAAATGAGAACCAAAATTACAAGATCAAGGAGTACCACATGAAAACATTAATTTCTCCAAGTTAACACACGAAATGGTGAAAAGAAATTTCTAAATCCCACCTAAAGATTATCCTTCACACACTGTAACCTACTGGTAAGTGTTGACATGGAAAAATCTCAATCAGTCCCAGAGGAGGCATTCAGTTTTTGCAATTATAAGTTACTTATGGACTTCAGATGGAAGAGACCAACTGCTTACCTCCTTTCAAAACAGTAAGGGTTTAATTCAGTAATCAGTAACACATAAAATCATATTATCAGAGCTATATCCTTTTCTGTATGATCTAATCATTCTCATTAATTACAGTTCATCAGGAAAAGCATATTTAAACACAGTTTAAACAAACACAAAGATCAACCTTTACACCTTTCTTTGCTATAGCTAAGTCAAGACAAAGTTAAAACTGCCACAATTGTAATATTTTAAGCAGCATAATGTACTATGAAACTCCTTTATTCTTTGCATTTTCATCAATACTACTTTGTGATGCTAAATGATACATGTAAGAACTTACAGGAAAGTCTTTATCAGACTCTTGTATTTGAACAGCAAAGTTATCTGGGAAGAGTCCTTCTTTACCATTGAGTTCTCCTTTCCACCAGCCTGGCTCTCCAGTGTCCTAAAACAAACAACAGGTCACTTGAATCAATATTTACTTCTTCCCCAGAGAGATACAGTTACAGGAACAATTTTTTTCCTGTTACAGAGAACTTGGGTCTGAAACACTGTGTTTATAAGAGGAATACTTTGGCCACCTGAGGAATGGGAAACAGCAACAAGTCAGATCAGGTTTGATCAGTTTTTGTTTTCTATAAAGCAGGATTAAATGGTATTACATCATATATAAGATAAGGGTATAAGGATAACATCTGCAAAGGGAAGGAAAGTACACAAACCCAATTATGGCCTAACACACGACATTTGACCTTCTCAGCTTCCTTGACCAGCAAGTTATTCAGCAAATACTTAAAATGTTATTGGAGTGACACACAATTCTACTAAATAAAAGTGATTCTGATGTGGTTCCACTGCTCTGAGAAGGGTGAAGATGCAAAAAAATAAACTCTGCTGAGGGAAAAAATAACCATATTAAGACATAAAAAAAATAAAATAACGGAGAATTAATTCAGAGGCACAGAAATCCATTACATGATGCTACTGATCAAGGTCTTTGTCCACAACAGAAAGTATGACGTTACTGGAGTATTTTAGCAGCATAAATAACAGCTTTCTTCTGTGCCTCAGATCCAAAATTCTGCAGGTAAAGGAGTAGGGGGAAAATAAAGTAATCAGATATTTTTTAAAAATCCCACCCTACATAAAACTAAAGGAAAAATCAACAGAATAAGGACCTGAATAGGTGACTAGTGCTGAAAGTAAGAGTCTGCTAAGGTTTTTTTTCTTTTTTCCCCTCTGTCAGCCTTTGGATTAAGTACTAGAGTCTGATTTCTGAACACTGTGCAGTCGTGAATGGCATAAGGCATCTACTGCTAAACTCCATTTAGCCAGTACTGAGGAGTGGTAGAGAGCCAGAGAGAACCCATGGAAAATTATCATCCGCAGAACAAACAGAAAAGGAATGGCCAAGGGGGACAGGCTTTACACAAAGTCTAAGTGCTGAAAGAGAAAAATCACAGAATGGTTTGGGTTGGAAGGGACCTTAAAGATCCCCCAGTTCAAACCTCCTGCCACAGGCAGGGACACCACTCACTAGCCCAGGTTGCTCAGAGCCCCATCCAGTCTGGGCTTGAACACTTCCAGGGATGGGGTAGTAACTTAACACTTGGCAAGACCAAAACCCTGGTCTGAGGTAGCCACCTGGAAGTTACATTAATACACTCAGACTTCAGAAGATGGTTTTGGAGGGAGAGCTCTGCTCTGGACAGCTCTTCTTGGCTCCACTTTGGACCAGCGTATGCTGTGGATAAATTGGTTCAAAAAGACAGAGGCAAGAGATTCAGTGAAGATGGGGCAAGGGCCTGCTGTGTTTTAAAAAATGCCTTTCATAACCACTCTTTTCCACTGTCATTACAGTCAGTGATGCTCATAATATCAATTTTCTTGTTAAAAAAATGGTCATCCTTTCCATAAAACTAAAATCCTCCTAAAGAAAAGGAAATGTTAGTTTTCCTCTGCAACTGTGTGAAAACTGAAGATGAAACTTTCCACTTTTTTTAGGAAAGTTTCTTTTTACAGCAGCAGATAAACTAATAAAATGCTGCAGAGTATTGCAGGGAAATTAGGTATGGGTAGGTTAATTTCCTGTTTAGAACCATCTCTGCAACAAGATGATCTATCAAAAAGGTGCTTTCAGCATTCAACACAAATGAGAACATCATGTTTCTCTAAATAGCTAGATAGTATCATTAACTTCTGTATGGTTATTCTGAAATACTAAGTACCTCTAAGACCTGGACTTCATCCTCTTACTGAAAACATTTGCTCAGTTTTTTTCATAATATCTACATCAAAATCAGTAAATACAGATCTTAATTTCTCACCTCTTGACACAATAATGCTTTTCAACTACTACCTCTAGGTCAGCCTGATACATCACCAGAGAAAAAGAACAAGTTCTGAATGTAAAAGTGCTATTTGCAAAGCTTTTCTAATTTCCTCACTGAAAAGGCACTTGGTACTGAGTGTACATTGATCCCACTGGCCTTTGAGCATTCCACGAAAACACCCACTCAGGAATGATCTTTAAAGTCATCTGTATCTCCACCAAGTGCAGAAGCAAAGAGTCGAATATCTACTCCAACAGACTCTCCTGCTTTCACAATTCACACATTACCTACCTGCACAAAATCCACAAAAGCTTCACACATGTTTAGAGCAGACCAAACTTTCTTACCTTACTGATTATTTGAATGATATCGCCTTCTTTAAAGCTGAGTTCATCATTTGAGCCTTCATAGGAAAATATTGTCCTGTAATATTCCTTGGCTGAAACAAAACAGCACAATTAATTTGGAGACCATGGGTAGTAACATACATAATACCAGCTCACTTCTGCTGTCTCAGAGCTGAGAAATTACCACTATAATCACACTTCCCTTCTAAACCAGCCACCCAAGCTGCTTTATGAATGTTCAATATGTTGTTCATATCACAAGAAAAATAAGAGTATGTATTTATAGAGCAATGAAGAGAAATCTTTGTGAAGTCAGGAGTATAAGCCCCAAAACATTTTTTTCACAACAGAAACTTAATTCAAGTCCTCTGATTTCAGAGGGAGAAAAGGGGAGTTAAAAGTATAACAGTTAAAATTTTAATAGCCCATCTAGCCCTCCCCATAGCATTATATATTCAATTCTGAGCCACTTTAAACAAGAATGGTTTCAAGTTTAAGAGTTTATACATATTTCTGAAAATTGATCTAAATTTCAAATTTGCATCCTAATTAAATACAGACAATTGTTTTCAAGTGACCTCCTTTATTAACACATAAAACTACAGAAACCTCAAGTACTTCAAGCAGCAGATTTGCTGAAATTCTGCAGTGAAACCAAATAACTGAAGCAAAGGCATTCCTTGGCTAAGCACCTGAAACCAGAGCTCATCCAAGTGATCAACTCTGACAGTCACAACCTCTTCCACAAAAAGAGAAAGAATAATTCTTTCCATTTGATACAGTTCAAAACTAATCCATTTAAAATGGTGATAACGATTCAGGTGAATAAGCAGGAGGATTTGTTTTCCTTTCCCACACCAGAACACAAACACCACGAGAAAGACCAAAATACAGAAACATATAATGTTTAACCCCAGCACCTAAAATAACTGAGTGGATAAAAAGGTTGAATTTCTGTATAGGAAGCATTAAGGAAGAGGAAGCAAACAAAAAGGACTCAAAGGTGCTGCTGTAACCTGTTTGGCATTGACAACACACACAAGTTGAGGAGCTGCATCACTCCCAGTTAGAGAAGCACAACATCAAGTCACTACGAAAATCATCTGCAATTCTTAATGACAGCCTTTGGCTGGGTGGTAAGAAAATTAATGAATGAATTGCAGTCAAATCTTTTTGCTGTTGTTACATTTCATTTAATAAAAATACAAATCTTTAGTTTAAAAATGCACAAATAATATTCTCAAATAAAAATCTACCTCAGTCAGTGACAACCACTATGTTAAAATGCCAAAGTTTGCCAAGCTTAAGAGACAGATATATAGAGATATCTAAGTGGATGTAAATAGACATATAACCACAAGAGTAATCCTAGCTACAAGAACTTGTATTACTTTGCTGCCCTATCTAGGGATCAAAAATGCTCAGCTAGATTATCTAAACTGTGGTTTGTGAAGAACTACAGCACCATAAGAACCATGTCAAAGAGATGAATGTTTAAACTGAGGTCCAAAAAACAAAAATCACACTGACTCTGGAGGAAAAAAAAAAAACCAAACAAAACAAAACCAAAAACCAGGTACACTACAAATATCTATCAAACTTGAGGACTTTATTCAGTAGTAGTAAGTGTAATACATTTCAGTACTTCCTGATTCTATAAAAATAGATGCATTTCTTTACTGCCTGGGGAGTTGGTCAGTATAATCCTTCATATTCTCTGCTCCTCCAAGTACTTCTCCTGTCTTCACATACATCAGAAGTCCCACAGCAGACAAAAAATGGTGCCAGAAAGGAGATCTTTCACTGTTCTCCAGGAGGGCTGGAGGCAGGGAGTCCTGCACCCTGTCCCCATGTGCTGGGCTGTGAACCCCAGCTTTCAGCACCACCAAGAAACCCAGCCATGCATGTAAAGAGTATGTACAGTTTGCCACTTCAGTACCTTATTTTGTGAGCCTGGTATTCTGCCAGTAATTAAGACAGAGTTCAGTTTAACTTTGCAGCATTTAAATTTCAGTACATATTTTTAAGAAAAGGTAGTTTAAAATTGAGTCTTTTCCAAAGAGTTGAGACTAACAATACAGTAGCAGAAATCACAGATATTGTATCCTAACATAATGGGGGGAAAGAGGGGTCAAACTGTGATTATTTTACTTTTTAAAGAAAATATTTTTACATTCTTGCACCAGAGGCCAAAAAAAGCTTTCAGAAACAGCAGAACCCCACTGCAAAATAAGCTACACTAGTCTAAACATTTCAGAGATCTTTGTTTATCTGTTAACAGATGAACACAGTTTATTTTAAACTTGGTCTCTTGAAACTGAGGATGAGATACATAAACTATAATATGGTCTATATTAAAATAAAAACACTAAGAAACAAAAACAAACTTTCCTCCTAAGGTTATAAGATGTTCTTATATGGTGTCTATAGGGTATTACCTACTGATGTTCTCCTACAGCTTCTATTACTGTCATAATTAGGTTCCTCTCTGATGTATTTGTTTCTCTGGGAAGCAGAGACCCAGCAGGGCTACCGGATTAGTCCAATTTCTCTGGTTTTAGCACCTGAAATTATGAAGAGAGCTAAATACTCAATGTTCCAGGTGTTCAGCACTGAATGCTAAGATTTTTTAAGCAAAGTTGGGTTAATTTTAATGCAAAATTTTAGACAAGTCAAATTTCACAACACTCAGGGCTGCACACTGTCATGCTGGCTCTTGGAGCAATAGCAGTGGAATGGTTTAAAAGCAAGATGTTGCAGTTTTCTTATTTCTGCAAATTATGCATTCCATAGAAAACAACACACCAAAATAAGGTATTTCCACATAAACCAAAAATATACTTGAAATTACAATACATAAGTTGAAAAAATGTCTGCTCTGGAACTGGGGAAATGAGCTGTCTACACATCTCATAATCAAAGTTAATTTTTAATATGGGGTTGGCACTCCCACAAGATGCTTTAGGTTGGCTTAAAAATCTCTCTCGAGATAGAACCATGTAATTTGGTAGCTAAATGAAGACATAAATTCTTAGAGATGATAAAAAAGAAAAATACAAACAACAAAAAAACAAACTGAATCACAATGAAACTGAATTATTGAAGGAACAGACTTCAACACAACATAAGCACCAACTTTCTGATGCAAAAAACTTTGCACAGAGTTACTACAGCGTAATACCACCTCCATAGTAAATCCTGAGCCTAAAAAGTACCTTCTACAACCTAGGGACAGAAATTGGGTTGGGGGACTGTTCCATGGAAATAGGTCTCCAGCATCCCATTGGAACACAAAGCTATTGCAGAGAGCAAATCACTTTGAACACATCAACAGAAAATTAATGCCAAGGGGACTGTTGCAGTAAAACTTCATAGCCCAGACTTATTTTGTTCTGGGAGAAAATCCCACAAATGTTTTTGATTCTTTTTCTACAGAAATGTAAGCAAAAAATCCTTTAGACTTTTTTGCATTTGCAAAACTCCTCAAAAGGTACAGACCATTACACAAAATCCCAGTATACATTAAAGTTTTAGATTTTAACACCAAAAAAATTGACAACCAAGTACTTCTCAAGAAAGGACTCCCAAATAATAGATGTACATGTCCATCAGCCTTACCTTTGGGTTTACTTTCAGCTTCTGATTTAATTACTTCTGGTGAGTTTTCAGTTTTTGTTATGCTGGGGAAATGAATTAGCTTTGATCCAGGAGAATGGGTAGGTAGTGGCTGCATGAAGGGAAGAGAATTTTGTTAATGAAAATTCTTTACAGGTTTTATTTTTGATTAGGCTACAGGACACGCCAATTTTTCATTAGCTGAGATGATGCAAATTAACATCTCAAAGAGATTCAGTGAGCTTTGCCATTAAGCACTTATCTTACTGTAGCTACTCCATTACAGACACTGCAATTAGACTTTACTGACTAAAGCCAGAGCACAGCTTTCAAACTGGAAGCCAGTCTCAGGACAGGGCCAATGTACTTCAGCAATTGTATTTCAGCAGTTCCAGGTGTTACTCTCCCATTAGCCTGAAAACTGCCTCCTCCAGCACAAAACAGAAGTTATTTATCAGCTCTGTTCAGAGGAACTCCCTAGCCACGCTTACTTTGCACTGAGATAAGGTAGGAATATTCAGCAGCCACACACCACCTCAGACAATCAGTTTTAAATACTCAGCCAAATGTAAGAGCACATAAAAATCCATCCCAGTTTCCCTTGACTCTTAGACATTTGTACAAAACAGAACACGTGAGTGTCACCAGAGACTTCTCCTGAATGAAAACCACCACAAGTTTCAGAGTTAACATCTAACCAAAATAAATATTACAGTACTTTTTAAAATATTTTTCCCCAGAAGACTTATTGAGCTGCCAGATTGACAGCTTCAGCTGCATCCACTTCTTCACAGCCCAACGAGCTACAAACAGTACAATCTTACAGCCAGTACTTACCTGAGTAGCCCTAATAGCATTACTGATGTGAAAAATCCCACTGCCTTTAGTAACTCTGTTCATTTTCATTTACAGTTCAACTTTGCAGATCTTCTACTGTCAGAGAAACTAGATTTGCTCTCTCTAAAACCAGACAATGCCTGTAGGCTGGTATTTGGTACCTCTGTCATACCATAGAGGAAGTCATGGTCAGTTGGGATGTTCCTGGAGGACATATGCAATTTAACTCTCTCCAGAATGGTATATGAAGGAAGCACTAAAATAACCCACCTATGAGATTAAACACTTCCAACATGGAAATAGTTCTCTATATTTCCCCCTTCCAAAATGGGATGCAATTAAAAGTAAGAGAGGAAGTCTAGGCAGGCAGGGTATAAATAGCCAGAGCCCAGGCAAGATGCTGGGACCAGCTGAAACAATCTCCTGCAGCAGCATAAGTGCCCTTGAGAACTTCAGATACATCAGTACTCAGCTGTCCTGTGCTAAACAGTCTCTGAATTTCCCAAGGGAAAAGAGCCCTCTCTACTCTAGACAGCTTTTTTTTTTCCCCTTACAGACTTAACGACAGAATGCCCTTCCAGCATCTCTTTATCTAACCCTGAAGCAAGTTAAGCACAAACCCAAGGAAGCCATCTATTTTCCCAAGACCTTCATGAGAATTACCTCCCTTGGGCTCTCCATGTTGTTCTGTAAGTCTGTCCACCTTTGGGATGACTTTGGCAACAAGTGGAAGAGGAATATTAAGTGCTAAATGAAATTGTTTATTTCTTTGTCACTAGGCTATGCAAAACTGTTTTCTCACTTCATTTCCTCTCTTGCTGAGAAATGGCCTGCAAGAGCTTTCCAGAAAGGTCAACCAACAGCACCAGCATATTTTATTGTTTATACACAGTCAAATACAACAATTCAAAAGGTCTGAGCAGGCTTCATATTAACTGAGCAGAGTTTAGACAGGCTCTTTATACTCACAGGTAACAAAGTATAAAATAGGGAAATACGCTTTTGAACCACCAGTCTTGTGGCAAGAAGGCAAGATGAAGCTATGTCCTATAGCCCTCATCTAACAGCATTCACTTGAAGATCTAGTGATCTCACAGACCCCCACTTCAAGGGATAAGGTCTGGAGATATCTGAGGAAAATCAGTGTGCCTTCACAGAATCACAGAATAGTTTGAGTTGGAAGGGACCTTCAGTGACCATCCACATCCAACCTCCATGCCATGGGCAGGGACACCTTCCACTAGATCAGGTTACTCAAAGCCCCATCCAGCCTGGCCTTGGCTGGGACACCTGTTTCAGCATCTCACCTCCCTCACCATAAATCACATCTTCCTTATATCCCCTCTTTTCTTCCTAAATCTCTCCTCTTTCATTTTGAAGCCATTGTCCCTTGTCCTGTCACAGCAGACCTCAGCAAAAAGTCTCTCCATTGCATTGAAAGGATGCAATAAGGTCTGCCAGGAACCTTCTCCAAAAAAAGAACATATTCTTTAGGAGGTAACATTCCCCAACCCTTAAACAGAAGGCAACACACTTGCAACTTTCATTTTCTAAATCATCTGATGCTTTTGACTGGACCAGAAACAAAGAAGTCATGCACCATGTCATTGCTCTTAGCATTGCTATTGAGGGAAAACACATTCAAGGAAGCCTCAGTCCCCACCTTCCTTCCAGGGACTCAACTGATCTTCTGCCCTACACCAATACAATTACTTCCATGGCAGCAGAGGAAAACAAATCAGTCAGCAAAACAGCATTAATAACCATAACAGGCAAAAGATTGAAATGGATAAAGGCTTTAAAAGCTTTCTTGAATTCATCACCTGAGTCAAATCTGAAAAACTGGACTATCTCAGCTGCCTTTAATTTATCAAAAGCTAAAAATCCATATATAAGCTCTTGGAATAAACAATGCATAAGTTCAAGATAAAAGACTGAGAATAGTTGCTGTGCTTTCAAGAGGTAAGAGCACTCTCGGGTTCAGATCAAAATAAAACTCAAACTACAGCAATTCCACTATCATTGCATTATCTGCTCTCTCCTAAGCTCCAGTAAGTTCAGTATAGAGAATAAATGTGCTCCTTTTCCCACTCACTCATAAAAAATGAGGGAAAAAAATTAATGAGGATGCAAAATTCTAAAACTGTATTTTTCAGGCTTACATTATCAGCAGTTTATGGAGCCAAAAGCTTGGCAGTATGCTCTGAAGGGAATGGCAGTTGACACCTTGAACAGCAATCTCAACATCCACCAAAACTTGAAAAAAAAAAACGCAAACAAAAACTTAAAGAAACACCAAAATATTCCTTGTTTTAAAAGACAAGTTTAACTTGCTAAAGAAGGCTTAACAGTCTTGTCCCAGACTACAAAGTCTGTTATAAGGAGGATTATGAGAGACCTCACACTGCAGATGTGTTTGAGAGTTCGTTATGTCTTACACTACATGGCTCTGAAATGACAATTTTTCTATCACCTTGGTTTTCCATCTCTAATGTTTTAAATACCAAGACATTTGAACATTTGGTATTTGACATTTTACATTTTGGAATCAATGTTAAATATTACTTACTTATAACTTATTAGGAAAGAAGCTTGAGGGGATTTGTTTCATTTTATAGGCGACAGCCCTATGAGATGATTATGGTCAGAAGCCCACATTTCTTAAACTATTTTTACAGGAAACCCCAAAATAACAGTATGTACCAGTACAAACCTTATCTTGCTTTTTATCTTCTGATTCATTACTGGGTAATCTCGTCTTAAGTTTCACTGAGCCTTCTTTAAAGATATCCCCAAACCCAACACCTCGGATTTTCTTTGGCTGTGCTGGTCCAGACGCAGGTTCACCCCCGTTTCCTGGAGAGGTCACAGGTGAGGTAGGACTATTGGAAACAGGTTCTGAAAGTAAAATAAGAAAGGAAAAGTTATTAAAATAACTGAAATTATATATTTGCTTTTCAGGGCAAAAAAGTGGAAGCTACACAGCTGTGTGCACTGCTCCTGTTTAACAGCTTTTCTAGGAACATCATTGTAGTTGTAATACCTCACATTTGTTCTAGTTTTATATTCAACATATGACCAATTGAAAAACTGAAATGACACCAGTATTGCCCTGATTACTCTGGCAATTAAGTCAATAGATCACTAATTTCTTGCTATTTCAATTATCACGCAGGCTCCACAGCCTTTTAACATCAATGTTTTCCATTAGTTTTATGAAACACTGCTTATTCATTCTCTGAAAATGGGGTTTTAGTCCAACACTTAAAAGCTTCTCATTAGCAGAGCTGCAGCCACAGACAGCGATGATCAATAAAGGTCCACAGTGAATCCAACCATGTTTAAAGAGCCACAGGAAAACACAGTGTTTCAGCGGTAGATGATGCCCCTCAAGGAACTAAAGTGAAATTTTCCTATTGCTCAAAATGCAAATAGATAGCACAACTATTTAGCTCTTATAATCTTTCAGTTTTAAGGGACAACATTTATCCAGCCTCCAAAAACGTATTTCAGAGAACTTAATTTTAGTGTTAAGAGCTTTGAGACTTTTTAAATTTTTTTTTATTTTTAAGTTATGGTCAAATCTGTTGAAGTTTACAAACCAATATTCACAGGTAAACTATTTTTACATGCAGAATTCCAGGAAACAGTCATGTGAAAACAGAGAGCTTTTATAAGCGAAATTTGAAATAGCCTCCACAACTTTTAGCATTTTGGTTAAGTTCTCTTCAGCCTATGCATGTTTGGAAACTGCAATAAAAATTAAAGCCTCTTCCCTCTATCATAAATTTAAGATATTTTGATGATACCATGAGGCTACATGGCTCTTGACCTCAGTTTCTCACCTTTTCTCTATCCAGTTGCTCTTCACTCAGCTATATCCTCTCAAATATCTGAAAGGATAGCTGGACATCCCATTGATGAGGAAAGTCCAGGTCACATGTTTAAAAGACCCCAGCTGAGTGAATGAGGCAGTTACTGTTTCCCAGGAGTGAGGATGGGAAGAAACATACTCAAGATGCTGTCTGTGAAAGTATTGAGCATTAAACAGAAACCCTGGGAGGCTGAGGCCTGTTAGTTACTGACAGAAAATACAATTACTTCAAATTACTGTTCAGTCTCACTGACTTCAGTATTCAGGAATTAAGACCAACACATATGCATTTGTAAATTTATCTCAGACCCAACTAAACTCAGGGAACTTGTCCTCCAAGGATACAGCCACTGAGCTATTTGCAACTTCAAGTCAAACAACTCGTTTTACGCTACTGCAATTATTTCCACAATTTACAAAAGAAAAAAAAAGAAAAAAAATCCAAGCCAGACTCTCCTTCCCCATGTCTGAGCAAGCCCTTTTTTGAAACAATCAATACTGAACATCTTTAAATGAGGGTGATGAGGGTGCACATTACCACAAGGTTAAAAATCACTTTTCCCCTTGAAGTTACACAGCTGTCTTTAACAATCATTTAACTCCTGCTATGATGTTCCCAAAAAACACTCCTAATTCCAGTAGTGTCATATCAGAAGTCTCGAGCCTTCAAACAGTTCTTCGTAGGCCAAAATGTTTCTAAAGTGCATTTTTTCAAGGGAACAAAGTAATTGCCTGTAGAGCACAGCCCTGCCTGGCACCACTCAGCACTCAGCTGTTCAGCCAGAGACCGTCTGCTTCTGCCTCAGCTAAAAAGCCACAGCCAGAAAGCAACAGCTAAATGTAAATTCTGCCTTAAAAACATTTCATTGTTAGACTAAAACATAATGAAGAGTCAGGGCTCCCTTCCCAGGGCTCATTTTAAGTTGAGGCTCTCCATACTCATACTGTTCTGATTCAATTTGACTTGGTTAAACATTTAAGTTTTGTGTGTTCAAGAACTCAGGACTGTGAGAACAAGACTGAAAAAAGCTACTAAACAAAAAAATAATTGTGTCTAATACTAAAAAGGATCAACTCTGAACATAATAAAATTTCTAATGATAAAATGCAGAACATATATTTGCAAGATCAAGACCTTGACTGCAATTTTATTTGAAGTGCACTGGGAGCAAGACAGGTTATCTTCATACTCAGCATCAACACTTTCCAGAATGAAACTAAATACTTACCCTTCTTAGGAAGCTTGAATTCTTTACAACTTTTGCTGTACTACAACCATAATACTCCAAATTATACTCAAGATCTAAGATCACTTCGCTAAGGGTTTACAATAAAGAGAACACCACCTGTGTCATCCACAGCATCCTGTGTTTCTCCATCATCCGTTGACTCCAATTCCTTCACGAAGTTTGAAGGGAACAACCCTGCCTTGCCATTCAGTGTTCCACTCCACCAGCCCTCTTCTACCTGTAGAGAAACATTTTGCGTATCACCAACAGACCAACAGAGCAAAACGAAATTCCTATCAGTTCCATCCACACTTCATTTATAAAACTCTACAAACAACTTGGGGAAAGTTCAAAATGACCATGATTTCCTTATAGAGAAACCTACCAAAGATGTAGAAACAGTAGGCAAAAAGAACAATTCACTTGTCACTTCTATCACTACAGCAGTGATCCTAAAACATGAGATTAGCCCCATGACAGCTAATCCAGAAAAGCAGCAAAACGTTCATCAACTTTCTCAAGGTAAGACAGAATAACAGGCACCACACGTCCAACAGAAGAAAATATCAAACTGTTTAGGAAATAAAGATGAAACTTTCAGCCTGGCTTTCTATGGAAATTTTTATGTATTCTTGCTGTCCATGTCTCTTCCTCTGCTTTGTCCAGTTTCCACTAGTCCTGATCTCACTTGGCTTGTATCCATTGGGCAGCTTCACACAATTTCAATCAAAAGACACAAGTTTCAAAGCTATAATTTCTACAGATAATATTGGGTAGAACAGAGAGAAGTCCTTAAGGACATCACAGAGCAATGGAAAACTAAGCTGTCCATTCCTTCTATCAGAAGGCAGCTGGCTGAGCAGGCTCTCTCTGGTGCAGGGACTTTCCCATCAGAGCTGACCAGCCAACAAAGGTAGCCAAGTCCACAAGGATTTTGTGGTGGCACACAGCAGTCCTAACGAAAAAAGTCTGTTGGATGCCAAATTATGTTGGCTTTGCCCTTCACAAAACAACTCATTTTTGCACTGGAAATAAACTTGTTCAGGGATTAGGGAACATAATGACTCTAACACTCAGTTATGTGATTGAATTCCTGGTGTGTCACTTGCACTGAAATACTCCAAAATTTAATGGAATGTTTATCAAGAATAACCCACGGTCCAAAGCAGAACAACCAAACACTGGGCATGCAGAGGTGACAGGGTAAAAACAATGCCAACGGACTAAGAACAGCACTCTTCCAATTTATGAACCGTTTTCAAAATGTCTCAAATACATACAATCTATTTACCTAATGAGTACTAAAAAACTCTAAGATAAATTTTCAAAATCTTTCATTTCAGTTGCCTTGTTTTTGGGCTGGAAAGCTGTTTTTAGAAAAGCAGCAGGGAAAGAAAAAGAAGCAAACCAAACAGCAGTTGTTTACATTGTCTTTTTTTAGCCTTGTTTTGTAGGTCACTACGCCTGACACACAGGCACAGTTTTAAACATCAACCCACCTCCAGGCAAGCAAAGCATATCTAGAACCTGGCAGTGCAGAGACAGGCACTGTTATTTTTAAAGGCATCCTGGTGCTCAAATAAAGCTTTGCTGTGCATGGTTCAAACTCAGAGGCCAGTCCTCTGAAACAGATTTTAAGCACAGATTACTGGCAACTGCTGCCCAGGCTCTGGCACCTCAAGCTTTACATAACACAATAGAAACCTAAAATACAAATGCCTTGACTCACCCAGACTACACCCAGGAGCCTCGAGAAAGGGACTTTTAATGATTACGATACAGAAAGCAGCTTGAGCATCCCTTTCTTCTTCTGCCAAGAAACATGGTCAGCAAAGCACTTCGCAGAGTTGAAACGCAAAGCGATGATGCCAGTTCAGAGACACTCAGCAACAAAACATTTCTTGAGCACAAGAACCTCCTCAGCACACTGCCTTTAACTGACTACATACTTTTTCTGGTAATATAGTTTGTATCTTTAATTGACATTAAAAAAATCAGGTTTAAGAAGTTCTACACGCTTCAGTGGAGAACATCTGCACATCTGTTGGTGCCAGCAACACAGATGACAATTTCCCAACCTTCCTCTTCCATTTCAAAATCTTACCAGATGATACAATTTCCACAAGAGGGAGGTACAGCTCTGGTACACACAGCAGAACTCTTTTAGTGTGAATCCCATCAACTTATTTCTATCAAAAAACTCAAGACTTCTCAACAAGAGAGAAGGAGGAAGACTAAAACAAGCAGTTTTGCCAATACAGTTTGTTGCTTTTTTTTAATAAAAACTTCACTAATGATGTCAGATGAAATTTTATTTTGCTTGATAACACCAGTATGCACAATACTAAAAATATACTAGAAAAATAAATCTGCTCATTACTGCTGCTTCTGACAAGAGTGGGTGAAGACATAAAAGAGAAACAAAGGTTTTACAGCAAGGATACAGTTATCACATGCACTCTGTGCATTTTTTTCACATGTAAAACTCACTTGTTCTATAAATAAGAAACCCTGTGGATTCAGCCAGCACACAGCACAAAAACCTTCTTCCCTAAAAGTTCTCCTCAATATTAATAATTTCATTTCTGAACACATCTGCCTCCACCTTTGATTTCAAAATCAGTAGTGTCAGTTTTAAGGACATAATTTACAAAAACAACTCAAGGACTAAATACTGAATTATTCTCAGGTAATGTAGAACTGAAGCTCATTTTACCTTATTTTCCCCATAAAGAGGTAACCAAATGATCTTTCCTTGAAGTAACAGTTACAAGTTATCTGCATATATATATATATATATGAGTGAATCATCTCACAGTAGTGAAGACAAGTTCTCCCAGCATACAACCAATGGACAGTATTTTCTACCATTCTGCACATTTCTGGTCCATCAGTACAGTTTTGTGAAGCAGACAGACCTAGTCTACACCTGCCAGGTCTATTCTACATCACCATAAAAATAGTGTGCCAACAGCTCTGTGCTCATAGTAAGCTGCAGTATTTTTCTACCTGGTAGCATTTGCCTAAAAATTTTCTTAGCAGCTTTTCTTAGAAATAGTGAAGACTGGGTACTCACATATTTTAAAATCATTAGGAGAGGAGTAAGAACGAGGACTAATAAAAAAAATTTCCTTAAGAAACCAGATGAGGAAATGCCTTGATTTTTTCTGTTTATTCTGTCATGACTGCTAGTACCATCCACAAATTAAACTGCCGAGATTACGCAGGAACACTCCTTTACAAACGCCCACGCAATGGTATTCATGAAACTGAGTTTAGTGAGCAGGTTTCACAAGTCACTTGCTCTGTTTACTCAAAGATATTAAATTCTACTAGTGCAAATGCATCTAAAGGCATAGCTTTTTCCTTGCTAGGAGAATGGCACAGTTCTTCCCAGCAACTGTCAGGTGAGCACTAACACTCTCTTCAAAAGCTTCCCACAACACAAGTTGCTATTGAATGGAAGAGATATCAAGGAAGCACATAAGTAGGAATAGATAAGAAACCCTCACCCCAAACCCCTACTCAATCACATGGGGCCAATGCCAAAGTCTACACATGGAGATATCTTGAACTGTATTTCTTACCCAATGGAAAAGGGAGGCAACAGAAATAATAACATGCTGTTGAGTGCATTTGTATGCTCCATATTTTTATGCATGTGGGGTGAAGTATATTGTACTGCAGATAGAGGCTTCTGTGCTGAATATTGGTACAGTTAGTTTAATGCTTCAATGTGTTTACAAGAGCATAAAACTGGAGAATCAGGTCAAATAACATGCACCTAAACCAAGTTAGAGTATGTTTACTTAAAAGCAACTGGTCCAACACTTTTAAGCAAAAGCATCCTAAAAATAACAATCACACAGACAGGACCAAAGCTCTGTAAAAGTCTTTCAAAAAATGAATCTGTGCTACAGATCACAATTTATTGCTGCGATGATCAAATACTTCCTGTAAACATCTCGTATTCATTGATTTAGGATTAGATCTTAAGAGAAACTCCTAAACTAATAGCTTTAGCTGCAAGAACTCTACTTTTCCCATGCTGTTTTTCCAACACGCTTGCAAACCCAAGCAATCACCCAAAAAAGTCAATTTGACTTCTGGCACATAAAGAGATGATCAGCTCTGCAAAACAGCTCTTACCTCATCGTTGATGTCGATCACATCCCCCACCTTGAGTTCCAGCTCATCTTCGTTCTGCGGGACGTACTCGAAGAGCACTTTGCACTGACGCTTCTTGGACCCTGATCCGAGGGGAACGGCACAAGTAAGAACACCCACAAAGGAAAACTAGTCTTTCCTTCAGTCAAGCTCCTGAGGATCCAACCTGACCAGAAGACCCATAAGCCATCCCAAAAAGCTATGCTGCTTTTGATGCTGGTTTTCCAGTTTGTTGTGTCACGTTAGTCTATTGAGCCACAGCTTAAATGGAGGTTGAGAACAGACAGACAATTCCAACACTGCATCTCCAATTACCAACACCCTCTGAAAACATGTTGACTCAAAAGTCAGGTAAATCCCCACTATTTTTCAAGCTATTTCCTGACAAAATCTGTAGGAATGACAGTTGTTTCCAGTTAGTGCCTGCTTTGAAGAAAACATGCAAGTTTGAGCCTCCAGTCTTTAGGCAATCCTGAAAGCAGCGACACCTTTTGTTGTGCACTGATAGCCCTTCTGCCCTCTGACACAGACCTTGTTAACCACAGCTCTGAGGTAATGCCAACATTTGCTGGGCTCGTATTTCAAAATCCAAACTCATTTTAATCTGTGAATGCAAACCCCCCCCCCTTTTCTCAGTGCCAGCATGGAGTCAAGGAATTCAAACTAAGTGTCAATTAGCAGTGCTTGACAAAAGCAAAATTAAAATTAAGTGCAATCTTCAGATGTTTGCCACATATCATTAAAGCTCTGCAGGCATTAAAAAGACAAAATGACATCTCGAGATGGGGAAGCATTGAAGTGACTTCCAACAACCCCTCCAGCCACAGCAGTGTGAACCCACATTGCCTAATTACTGTGCCCGTATCCTGGAGTGATGCTGTTGCTGAACCCAGAGAGTTTATGCATTTCTCCTTCAAAGAAGAGGCCATGTCTTCAGACCTTTTCCACAACAGAGCAGCCAACATGCTTTTGAGGGCAATTATCATCCTGAGCTATAACCCATTCCCTATCCTCCTCAAAAGCAATCTGCTTCAATTTAAATGAAAATATGAATCAAAAGCTTGACATGGTAAAGCCTAAGCTTACAGGAGCTGTATAATTTCCATGCTTTCTCCCATACTTTGTACTCCCTTCACACTGAAGCTTCAGCAATTATGATTAGCTGTGTAAAAACATTTCAAAACACAGATACTGCCTGCAAGATTGATCCTTGTCTTATTATAGCAGTGTTGAAAGTCTAAAGTCAGACATAGAAGACAGCCACGCCCAGCATCCTCAGCACAAAACATGCCAGGCATCTGAGCAATATTCTGCATCGAAAATTTCTGAGAGAGGCCTCACCAAACCTAGAGTTTTCTACATGCTGGTATATGACCCGTGCAAGAAACAAATAAACCAGAAATATGAAACTCTGTGGGTTATTTCTAATAACACATAATTGCCCACATAATACCCCCTTCTTTTGCCTCCACTGGAGCTCATACATCAGCCCAGAGGGATTGTTCAGTTTACAGTAATTGCAATAAATGGTTCACTGGCCTTTACTGTTTCCTGCAGCGCTTTCAGGGCTTCTCCTTTGTAGGAGATTCACTGATACCAAAAAAAGGCAAATTAAAAAGTCACAGCCATTTGGTATAAATCTGATCTCCGCATTCCTTTTTAATACTGTAATTCTACCTAAATGGGGGAGAAAACAAACCTATGGATGCATTTCACATCCAAAACTCTTCCTCACCTGAGGTGTGCTTTCAGTGAGACCCAGTTTGGGAAACTGCCTTCAGTTTTGAACTGCTTTCAGTTTTCAAAACTGCCTTCCAGTTTTGAAAATTCCTAGACTAACCCAGGAAAGTTAATGACAAAGCTGTGTCAGGGGAGGTGTAGGCTGGATATCAGGAGAAGGTTCTTCACCCAGAGGGTGGTTGGGCACTGGAACAGGTTCCCCAGAGAAGTGGTCACAGCACCAACCCTGACAGAGTCCAAGAATCATTTGGACAACACTCTCAGGCACATTGTGTGATTCTTGAGATGTCCAGTGCAGGGCCAGGAGTTGGACTCAAAGATCCTGATGGGTCTCTTCCAACTCAGGATATTCTATGATCCTAAGGTAACCAATCCAACTCAGTCAGGAAACAACACTCCAGCTTCATGTGGTGCTGCAGGACTGCTGGGCTGGCAGCCTACAGGCAATTCTGTTCCTTTCCAAAACAACTTGTCTGGTTTCAGGTTTTGTTTGTTTTGTTCAGGGTAAACCAAATTTAGCCCTTTGTTGCAGTCACTTAGCCCACCTTCTGTGTTTTCCTTCTGCTGAATAAAGGCACACATCTAACTGATAGGAATTCTGCCTGCAGCTTACCACCCACCTGACACAAAATACCTGAATTCAGCAGGAGCTGCAAAAACAACACAAGGAACTGAGCAGGCACAGACAACCTGCCTCACTGCACATGGAAACTTGCTATTAAAAAAAAATTAAGAGTTTCTTTAGGATTATAAACCTCATTTTACCAGGTGAGGAACCAGAAGTGGAAAGACAACTAAGCTCTGAAAACCTTTTGAAGGATGCAAGTGATTGCCCAGGCACAGAGCAAACAGGATCTGCTGGAGCTGTTTAAACAATCTTCCAAGAAAAAGGGAACAGCAAGTAAAATGGAAATGAAGACTGTCACTGCACCAAGTAAACAGCTGTGTGCCTAAAGGAAGGTGCTGGAACACCATTTTCTTCCAGAAGGATGAGACTAGCCAGAGCACTGTGGAGTTGGAGAGCAAGTTGTACCTACTACTCTGGCCACAGCCATCAGCATGAGGATGAGACATGAGATACAGGATCATTCCAGGGTTAAGGAGACCAAAACAAGTAGCTGGCAGCTGAACTGGTATCAGATCATGTTCACAAAATCCTAGAACATCTCGAGTTAAGAGGACCTGTAGGGATCACGCTTATTCCCTTTCAGAGCCTGGCTGCATTTATCCAGGAACAGTATTAATCCTTCAGGCTAGATTTTTCCAAAGCCTGCTGATGTAAACATCTAACAGGCACATACTGGTGTTGCCAATATGCACATACAGATCAGAGACACTAAAAAGTAATTTTGAACCCTTAGTTGCCTAGAACAAAGTATCAAGAAATTTATAAATCTAGCAGTCTCATTTCAGGGCATTTAAAGATAACCAGTGGTTCTTCTCCTTTTATGGGCAAAATCTCAAAGCATAAACACACCAAAACCAGTAAGTTCTGAATGCTTTCTTTTTAAAAAAGCAGGCTTAAATCATTAAAAGCCTCCAATCCCTTGTAAGAGAGAGGAAGCCAGAGTAATTTAGAGCAATGCCTTACAAGAGACTGATATGTCCAAATACAAATCACAAGTCAATTTGCTGGATGCAGGGAATGGCAAGTTTTCTGCTCTACATTTTGGTCATCATGATTTAAAAACTGACATTAAAACACAGAAACCACAGATACAGAGGCAACAACACTGCGCTCCTCACCATCCTGAGGGCTGCTGTTAACAAGAAAAGGAAAACCGTGAATTTTGTTTAGACATCACCAACTCCACCTTATTTCACACCAGAGGCAGGCCTACCCTGAGGAATCTGAACTCTGGAATGCTTCCTTGTCACGAAACCTTGAATTTTTAACAAAACTTTATGTTTTAACATTTCTTTTAAAAAGACCACAGGAAAAGATCTTTGATTATCATGAAAAGGCCCACAGGTCTCATTCAGGTACCTGATAATACAAGCAGAGCTTACATGAATTTACGGAGCTCTCTGGCATCTGGAAGGGGTCTAAATCCTGTTCCCAAGAAAATTCATCCCTATTACTGCTCTTAAAAGCTACATATAAGCTTTCTGCCCATACACTCAGAAGCAAAACTTGGCTTCAAATAAGTTTTTCCCCCTATGCTTCTAGTTTTCCATATAACCTTAAAACTAAGTCAGGCATTAAATAATTCATGTTTATTTTTAAAAAGCCTGTCAGCAGCTTATGCAATTGAAGGAATTGGAAGGACTACATACTCTTCTTGAATCCTTTGGATGGGGGATGAGGTTGAAATCCTCCTGCTGGAAGCCCATAGCTGCTCATCCGCTGCACAAGACTGGCTACATTGCCAGATTTCTCCCTCCTGAGTGGTACAGCATCATCCTTGGGCTCTACATCCTTCTTAACTTCCTGAAAAAAGAGATATAAAAGACTGAGAGGCCACTTAAATTACTCAAGAGGTCAGTGATTTTAGGCAGGCATTCAAAAGACTAACAGATTTCAGTTACTTACCATTTGGGGTACAATAACATATTACACTCGAAAATCATGGCATCCTGCAACTAAACATATCAAAGGCCTTAATAAACTTGACCCTTGCATACAATCGTGTTAGTAAAAAGGTAAGCTCATGTGCTAAGAAAATTCAGAAACAGGGGCAGGATTTTAGCCATCTACTCCAACTCTAAGAAAAGCAGCTTTGAGCCCAGAAGCCCTGTATTACAACTCTCATGTCACAGAGCTCATATTTGAAAACATTTGTAAACATATAAATATTACTTCAATGGCAGACCCACAGGGCAGGGCAATAAAATAATTTATTATACAAAATGATATTAGGCAATTATCTCTGCCTCAGAAAGCTCTGAGGTGTTTACAGATAAGATGCAATCACACTGCTGAAAGACACGAGTGGAAAAGAAAGTGAGACACAAGAAACAGTGGGAGCAAGTGAGGAGAAAGGTGTAGGAGGAAAATAACAGAGACATAATTTTTCTGGTAATTGTCTCCCACCTTCCTGTCTTTCTAAATTAGGATGTTAGCATTGGAATTGAATGTGCCAATCAAGACTAAGAAGCCTATAAACAAGAAAGCATCAGTTCTTGATAAAAAGGCCAAGTATGCAGCAGTTACTCTACCATATCAGCTCATTAAGTGAAATTCCAGGGGAGAACAGATACTCTGAAAGAAGGAAACCACCACTTTGCACAAGAAACCCATTAAGGCACATCAATGGCTCATCTAGTGCAGAACACAGCTCCCAGTGGCAGCAATCCCAGAGGCTCTGCAGAGAGCTATCCTGCAACTCAGATACTCCCACATTCCCAGGGCACCCATAAGTGTTTCATGAGGGAGATACATCTCCTTTTTATGTCTGCAGCTGGCCCTGTCTAACCCCTTTCAGCACCCATGGTCCTGTCTGCCTCCACAGCATCCTTAGGGATAGACACCAGATATTTGCCCTTTGCTCCATAAAGAAGCTCCTCTCTCCCATCTGCTGTAGGCTGACACCTTACTACTCCCCCAGGCTGTTCTCCCCATCACTGAATTTTGTTTGTCACAATCTTCATGGCTCTGTAAACCTGGATCGTATTTCCCCTTGGCTTTCTCTTCTCAGCTGAAGAGTCCGAGCCCTGTCATCCCCATGTCAGACAGCTGCTCCATCCCTTTAACCATCTATGCAGAGGTCTGTCTCCATCCCAGTCTCAAGGTTCCATGTAGGCATGACATGGATTAGCTTTTCCTACACACATTACTTGGCATTTGGCTCCCTCCAAGCCATCCGTTTTGTCTGCTCAGCTCCTTGCCACCAGCATGGCACTGAACTACATTAGAGTTTAACAGCACTCACAAAATGGGAGTGTCCACTATTAAATCCCCTCTCCAGATGACCAGAGGTGCTGAACAAAGACACTACCACAACTGGCTCCTGGAAATCCCATTACAGACTCTCCTCTATCCTCACAAGTCATTGATAAGTCCTTTGTTTATAAAGAATCTTCCACTTCTTAAAGGAACTTTTTGTTCAGTCTCATAGGAACTTCATTCCTTCAATAACTTGATGGAGAACTTGATCAAAGACTTTCTGAAAACCCAAGTGTGCTACATTCACCGAATCTCACATATCTGTGTGCTTAGCAAGACCCTCAAAGCCCATCAGCTTTCCCACCACCACAGAATTACAATGTCTGGATGAAAGCAAACACCCATTTGCAGCTTTTTATTATCTACTTCAGAACAATTCTTGCATCCACCATCCGTAGCCACTGGTTGACAACTCCACTACTTAATGCAGATGTAGCAGCAATAAAATCTTTAATATAACTGAAAATAATACCAGCAAGGCATAGATATACACTTACTCATGTTGTGTGAACTCTTAAACATGAGCTTTAAGACAACAGAACCCACGCATCGATCAAGTGCCAAAAACAGCAGAAATATATTGCCCAGGACCTTGCTGGTGCCTTCTGGAACATTAAAGCCCAGGTTACCTCCTGCAGCTGTCCAGCAGGAAAACTCTGCAGGTCTGAAAACCTACTGATGCTTTCAAAGATACTACAAACCTCAAGTCAAAAAGACCAAAGCACCTCCCTATTTCTGAAAAGAGTAGAGCAAGTGAAATAAGCAAAACTACAGACAGCACAATATTTCTTCCCACTCATCTACACTACATAAAAAAGCTTTTCAGAAAACAGTCAAGTAGTTCCTGCTATTACTCTCCTTTATCCACAGTGACTTGTGTCCTGGAGATCTTAGCTCTGCTGAGATCCCATCTTCCAAGTCAAAAAAAAAAAAAAACACACAAAAAAACCCCACAAACACCCAAACAAAAAACCCACCAACCCTCCAGAATAACACAGCATCCTATCCACCTCCCATCTGAACAGACATTTCACATTTTAAAGACTTCGTCATTCTCATCTTATTTTTCAGCCAATTACTTCCAAGTCTGATAAACTATAAGCAATTAACTTTGGCTACAGCTGAAACGTTTGCCACCTCCAAAACACCTTTCTAGCTGCCTTACTGTCAAGGCCATTGTGCTCATCTGAAAAACATACTGGTACTTGAAAACTTGCCTAGAGTGCTTCTGCCCCTGGATTTTTAAAATTATAATCTTTTGCTATGTGATTTATACAGCCTCCAAAATCCCCAAGCTGCTCCAGGAACTTCCAGTTAACCAGTTTCCCAATCGTGACGTTTTCCAGTGAGGAATCAGCTCCAGGCTGCTTCCCCAACTCTGCACTTTGCACAAGATTTCAGAAGCAGCTCCTTCAATAACTTTGTAGAAAACACAGAGTTGCAAAAAGGAACTGGGGAAGCCTTACACAAATAGTTTGTTTGAAAACATGACCTCCTTCTTTTTAATTTATTAGAAGAAATAAAAAATCAAAACAGCACACACACAACACTTCCAAATGTTACAACACTCTGTAAGATCACTATAATCAATAATTTGAATTAAACAGAAAATATACTTTTAAGTCCAGCAGTAGCATCAAAAGCAGTAATCTAATAAACAAGTTATAAACAACAGGAAATTATTTGAGGCAAAAGCAGTGCCCACTACAAAAAACCAAGGACCCAAAACCAAAAGGAGGAATGCTGGAGTGCCTTTCTTGCCAGGCTTGAGTCAGTAATTGAGTGGTGACAGGTAGGAAATACTTAAAAGTCTAACACAAGACAACGGTTCATTTTAACAGAAACTATAGTGGATTAAATTTAAAAAGAGAGTCTAAAATAATTCTGTGAGCAATCATTACATGCAGAAAATCTTGCAGCCAGATTTAAAGGCTGATGATTTACTGATGAAGAATTTCATCAGCAGAAACCAGAAAGAACAATCAGACATTAGGAAAGGCTGGTACACCAGACTTTCCTAATACAGACAAGATACGAAAGCTGAACTTTGATACACAGTTAAGAGAAACCATCCTACTCCAAGGCATATAAAAGGAAAGAGGTTGCAAGGAAAAGCTCAAGGTGACTGTGTGACAAAAACAGCAGCAGAGAGCTGCAAATCCATCAGATTTACAACGAACAGATGTGGGTAACAACCACACGAGAGGGTTCCTGCCACAGCAAATAGTGGAAAATCTAGTTTTGACAAAGAACTACAGAAGCAGTTAGCAAGCAATGCATGGATAAGCCAACAACTACTTTTTCCATATTTAACCTACTACCCTTTAAAACATTCTTGTAAAGCAAGCACTATTTTTTTTCATTATTAAAGAGAAACTGCAACATTAATTAGCCTTCCTCAGGGCATAAAAATCACATTAAAATCAAACCAAGTCAAAGCAAATTCAGGAATTCCTGGTCTCCACACCTGCACGTGGTCTACTACAGCACAACCACATAGTTCACATCAGTGCTCCAACAGCAGGAAAATGCTCAAAGATTCATTTTCAAAAGCACACATCAGGATCCCCTGACGTAAACACCCACCACTCCCACCAGCAACTTCATCCTGGGCATCATCATTATGACTGACCTTTTGGACATGTTAGGATTTCACAAAGGAAGTAATTTCTAAACAAGACAGTTTGGATCTCTGAAAACTCACACTAATCAATGTAAACATCAATAAACACCCCATTAATAATGTTAATAAGAGTTCGCAATTCTTACATCTCTGCTCTAACAGCTTGCTTGAAGTTTAGTGGTTGGAAAATGACACTGCCCACAGGTCTCATGTCTGAGCTACCACTACACCCAACCTGAACATTCCCAAGACTCCTATTCATTGGCTTCACAAGGAAGGCAGTTTTCTTTGTTTTTTGGTGGGTCTTAAGTCAACCTCATATATCCAAACTATCAGAGAGAGTCTGTGTTGTGACAGTACCAACAGAACACTCCAGGACGCTTCAGCATGTTCTGAGATGAGGCTTTTGCCAGCTGCCAGCCAGCAAAACCAAAATGAAAACCTGACATTAACTGCAGCTGGAAATTTTAATATTGTTATTATGACAGTCCACTGCAGTTCAAGGCCTTGTCAGTGTTTCCATTAAGCAGCACAGATTTTATGCATTTATGACTTGGCAGTACAAGGTCAATACAGACTGTCTCTTGGCATGAAACACGCTCAACTGGGAAGTAACCACCCACTTCTTCTGTTGCAAACTACAGCACTAGTCATAAAGGTTTGAAGTTTTCACAATCTCCACTAAATGTGTGTTTTGCAACACTTAAATTTGCTGAAATCATTAAAGGCTGATGTGCAAAACCGAGTATAAATTTATCTCAACAGCAAAAAAAAAAGACTGGGGTGATCTTGAGGGGCCGTTGCTTTAATTGCACCTGTCACAGTTCAACAATTCCTCAGAGAAATGCACATGTTTACATATGAAAACCTCAAAACCATTTAGGTACAGCAACATGTTAAGCAAGAACTACTCTTTATATGC